AAAGTTTCTGAAGGACGAGAAACCATTAGAGTGGGGATGCTAGAATTACAGGACTGTGGGCTTAAACCAAGTATGGCTAATATGCTAGAATATATGTGAAAATATTTTGGCATTGGCAGCCAAGACATAAAAATCATAGAGAAGAAATAGCACAGATGAGAACACGGAGAGACATGTATACCTAACTTGGATTGGGTCATTAGTAGACTGAATACAAGCAAAAGCCTATACATGAAAACATGTGACAAGAAACTTCTAGAACTAAAGAACAAGGACAAAAAAGCTGAAACTGAGCAAATGTTTAAGAACTAAAGGAAAACTATAAAAATGATATGTAAATTGGGGATGTCAAGAGAAAGAAGAATTCTGGAAAGGAATCGAAGACATTTTTGAAAAGTCATGACTGATAATTTTCTCAAATGTCAGACACCAGATCATAGGAAAAATACATTAAAAAGAGAACATGGGAATGCACTTTTAATCTCTGCACTTGAGATGCAGAGGCCAGTGGATCTCTGTGATTTAGAGGACAGGCAGGGCTACATAGAAAGATCTTGTCTATAAGTCATTAACTAGAGAACACCGGGTTAAATCTACCTACACCTAGCAGTACAATCATTAAAACCTCAGTAGTCAGAGAGAAAACCTTGAATAAGACAAAGAAGAAGCCTTACCTATCTGGGAGTCCAAATAAAAAGTGTGTCCTCTGTCCTCAGAAACAATGTAAGTCAGAAGAGTGAAGAGAAAGGTTTAAAATGTTGAGGGAAAAAAATAAACATCAGTCCAGAGTTCCATGTCTTGTGAAATTATTCTTCAGAAACTAAAGGCAAATAAATCCTTTTTTGAATTAAAAAAAAATGTGAAGACATACTATTGTCAGGTGATTTCCCTTGCAAAAACTGTCAAGAGATTTTCAGATAGAAGGCAATTTTATATAGGACAGCAACTCAGACTTTCAGAAAGGAGAAAAGAATTGAAGGTTAAAAATAATTTTTATTTTCCTTATCCAATAAGTTTATTAAAAATACAGTATGTTCAGCAATTACAGCTTATGTATGTGTGACATGAATAACAATTGTATGTGAAAAAGACCCAAAACCCCACACGTACTTGATTCTAGTCATGTGTTGAGTCATGGCCTTCTGTCAGTGATGAACTCTATACAAGTATGGTCCTATTAGACTGTAGTTGTGTTAAACAGTTGATGTTCCCTAGTGATGCTGGAGCCACTGTGCTATATTGCAGCTCCTTATTTGTAGAGATGTGGCTGTAAGCAGAACTACTCTACTGCCCATCATTATAAAGGTATGTCACATAAATCAGTGCAGTGGGGTTGGTCAGATGTCCCAGGTGTAAGAGTCCCTCATGGCAGGGAAGCTTGGCAGCAAGAAATAAACACACACAACTCTAACCATCCAATTTTCTACAAAGGTGCCATGAATACAGAAGAAAGATAGCTTCATCAAACCATTGATGGTGCTAAAAATAACTACATATCCACATGTAGAAGAATGAAACTAGGTCTGTGTCATTCTGTGTAAAAAATGAAATTGTATCTAAGAACTGGAAACTTTGAAAGTGCTAGACATGTTAAAGGAAACATTTTAAGATACAGTCATAGGCAAGAACTTTCTGAAAAGGGTACCAACACTTTAGGGATATAGCAATAATTGAGCAGTAGAATTATATGAAGTTTAAATCTATCTGCAATAAAGAAAAACAGACAATAGTGCAGTGGAGAGACCACTTACAGGATGAGAAAACATCTCTGCCAGATATACAGCCAAAGGTATTATATCTCAAATACATAATTTTTAAAAATTAAATGCCAAAATCAAATAATCTAGTCAACAAATGAACAGATGGGTTGAACACATAATTCTCAAAAAAAGAAGCATAAGTGACCAATAAATAGATGAAAAATGTCTAATATTTTTATCCATCTGGAAAATACAAATCAAAACTATATTATGAAACTATATTGAAAGAATAAAATGATATATTTTTATACAACAATGAAATTTAAAAATCATAATAAAGGCAGTTGGAAATTCCTAAAATTACTAATAATGAAACAACACAAGTCAGAATAACACATAATATGAATAACATAATAACATAATATGAAAGAGGAACTCTCAAAAGAAAATTAAAAATACTTTGGACTAGATAAAAATGAAAATGCAGTTTATCAAAATTTATAGGATGTGACAAAAGCAGTGCATAAAGTATGAGCATTCTAATAAAAACTATCACCTTAGTAATCAGAAAAAGAATGTAAACAGCATCCGAAGAAAGCAGAAGAGAAGAAATAAGAAACATTAGAGTCAGACTTGGCCTGTGGCACCATACAGTTGTGTTCGTTCCTACTTTCATATCATATGTACATACAGGAATGTGTTTACCTATGCAAAATCCATAATCCACAAATGAGAGAAAAGTGGCATTTGTTTTCCTTTCTGAGTTCAGTCAGTTGTCTTGAATTACACCCATCTGTCTGCAAATGGCAACTTTGTCCTTTGCATATTTCATTTTGTTACCCTTTCCTCTGCTGTTGGAACCCAAGGTTAGTTCTGTAACTCAGCTATTGTGAACAGTGCTGCAGTAAACATGAATATGCAGGTCTCTCTGTGATATGTTGACCTGTAGTTCTTTGTGTAAATACCTGAATGGTATAGCTGGGTCACATGGTTGATTGGGTTTTAGTTTGTTTAAGGAAGTCCCATGCTGATTTCCACAGTGGCAGGACTACTTTACTTTCCTGCCAACAGAGTAGGGGTTGCCTTCAGTCTGCACCCACACTAGCATTCTCTGTTATGTTTCCTTAGTGAGTGCCATTCTGACTGGGTAAGATGGAATTTCAATGTTGCCTTCATTCCCATTTCTCTGATCATTAGGGAGCTTTTGAGAACTTTTAACTCACTTCAGTAACTCCTTGTTTAATTGAATTGTTTGGTTTCTTCTTTGATTAGAGTTATTCCAAGATCTTTTTTTGCAGCAGTTATGAAGAGAACTATTTTTCACGATTTGGTTCAGCATGTTTTCTATTGGCATATAGGAAGGCTACTGATTTTTGTGTGTCCATTGGTGCTATTTAATTTTGTCTTAGTTAAGTTGTATGTGTCCCATCTGCTATGAGGACCTAGCTTGCTTGATTTTCTTCATATTTTCCCCCTCCTCTCCTTTACTTAATCAGACCTTGCTCCTTTGTTTTGAATATTCTACATGTGATGTTGGACAGAATAATGAATAGAATCATTTAAAAAGAAATACTTTTTTACTCAGTAAATATGAAACTAATAAAATTTTGTGAAATACATTTTATAGCCTTGCTTGAAGGAATATATTAGGATGCTAGAAGAATTGTAGATGGCAAGAACCAGGAATTCATGAGACCTCTTCTGTCAGGCTGCCTCTTGTTGAACTATGAGATCCTTCTATCACTTGACTTCCAGCACCTAACATCTTTTGTTTGTGTGTGCTGTCATTGTTTGCTTTACTTGCTTGTGGGTTTCCTATGTCCCTGTTGCATAACTCAATTGATAGACAGCTGATGGTTTGGAGGGTCATTCTTTTCAGGTGAGGAGACAATTTGAGAGGAGTCAGTTCTCTCCTGCTACCTCATTCTTGGGATAAGGTATCTTCTTTTTTCTGCACTGCATTGTCTACGCAGACTTCCTACTCATTCTCCTGTCTCCAACCCCCATCTTCCCATGACAGTGCTAGTGCTGGGATTAGATGTAAGCCACAGCTTGTAGCATTTTGACTTGAGTGCTGGAGATGAAGCTCAGGCAGCCAGAACTGCATGGCAAATGCTCTTGCGTGCTGAGCCATCTCCCTAGCTCTGTACCACCAACACTTTTGCACATAAGTATTTACTCACCAATACTTCCTGCCCATAAAGTACCTTATAATTATTCCCACAATGTCCAGGTTCATTTTTGCCCCAGGCTTTGCCCTTTCTAATTCTTATAAAAATATATAGCTGGGTGGTGGTGACCTTGCATCCCAGCACTCGGGAGGCAGAGACGGGCAAATGTCTGTGAATTCAAGGCCAATGTGGTCTGCAGGACACAAGGCAGTCAGGACTATTAGACAGAGAAGCCCTGTCTCAAAAAAATAACAGCACAACAACAATAACAACAACAACAAAAAAAAATATTACCCGAATATTTTTTTTAGTACAAGGGTTTAATCTTAATCTGCTCATATTAAAAATTTTGCTCTGCCATTGTGCTGATGAATTTAATTGAGAATTTGTATCATAGCCAGTCAGGTTGTTTTAAAACTTAAGAAAATCTCAACATGTTGTCATGACATTTCTTAATGACTTGGCTTTATGGTGTGGGCCATCATGCCAGCTGTTGGGGCAGAGGCAAGAGGACACTTGGAAGCCTGCCTAGATGACAAAGCCAGACTCTACTTTAAGACAAGAAAGGAACAGAAAAATGCTAAGCTATCACAAGATGCTGTTAGTGCTTTACAGAGTTTCGGGATTCCATTGAGTGTAGAGCTCTTGCCCAACACGTGTGGGGCCATGGATTGAATTCCCAGCACTAGAAAGAAAAGCACACATAGAGTTTGAAATGCTTATTTTCCAGTCTTTCTTTGTGTGTGCATTCATGTATGCATGATCATGTGTAATGAGAGGACACAAGTGCTATGGGACATGTGCCCAGTTCAGCAGACAGTCTTGTGGAGTGGGTTCTGGTTTTCTCCTTCAGTATTTACATGGGATCCAGAGGTTGGTGTAAATCATCAGGCTTTATGGCAAGCATTTTTCCTGGCCCCTTAAAATGCTTTCAGAAAATTGTTGACTTGTCCTATAAACTGTTAGCATCTCTGAAATATATCTTAAGAACTATCCTTCAATTATGCCAATATGTAATATTAATCAACATTGTGAGTAGCTAAGTAAGTCTGCATATTAATATAGTTAATAGAATTCATTGTTGGCACATATATTTGTATCTATATAGATGTAATTCTTTATATTTCAGGAGTTATACTCATTGTATTATGGACTCTACTCTGGGCCCTTATAGGTCAAGAAGCTCTCCCTGGTGGAAATTTGTTTGGACTTGTAGTTATTTTTTACAGTGCTTTCCTTGGGGGTAAAGTTTTAGAAGTCATTAGAATACCTGTAGTGCCTCCTCTCCCACCTCTTCTTGGTAAGCATATAATCATCTGTATTCTTTGTTGATGATTTGTAAATTTTGAACATTTTCTCTTTGGGCTAGATATATAATTTTATTTAATAAGGTGTATCTAACTTCTAATTATATGCATTTATTGTATATGTATATACAGTTTTCCATATAGATTTATGCTCTACATACACATATTTTCACCTTCTATTTTAAAACATAATTTGAAGATCCTGAATATAGTCCTGATGTTACTTCATTATTTAATTCATTGTAAGCTTAGTTTAAAATGTATTCTAGAAGAAAGAAAATTTAGAAAAGGCTGAAGTTTTTTTTACATGTCATGGAACTAAAACATTGCACCAATACCCTTTGAGTACTATGTAAGCTGTGTCTGTATTGTTTATGCCAATCTGCCACTCCTGTATTATGTAACACTTATTCATCTTATTGTTCTGTGATCTGCAGGTTGACAGAATAGTTAGTGGGACAATTTTTTCTGAGGTCTCATATCGTCTACATAACCAATATGTCTAAATAAGCAAAGCACCATCTGAAGAGATTGTCTTAGTACCTCTTAACATGTCCATGATACCCTTGCATCCAAATCTCTCTAAATATTTACTGACTCTTTACCCACTTCTTCACAACTTCTATCTCCAACTTGTTCATGACATAGCCTTCTTACTGGTCTCTGTGGCCTGTTTTATCACTGTCTAATTCACCAAAACCAACACATAAAAACTGCAAGACTCATATCAATTCCTTTATAAAACTTTCCCAAAGCCCCTGACTGCCAAAGAGGAGAAGCCTTCCGTGATCTGACTTCTGCCTCTCATCTTCACTCTCACCCTTGCTGTTTGTGTACTGGCATCGCTTCATTGTTAACCATACCACACCTGCACCACACCTGTACCACACCTGCACCACACCTGTACCACACCTGCATCACACCTGCACCACACCTGTACCACACCTGCATCACACCTGCACCACACCTGCACCACACCTGTACCACACCTGCATCACACCTGCACCACACCTGCACCACACCTGTACCACACCTGCACCACACCTGCACCACAACTGCACCACACCTGCACCACACCTGTACCACGCCTGCAAGTGTCTACTCTGCATTCCTTTACCCATGCACAGCCTCTGCTTGTATGTAACCTTACCCACATTTCTCTCTTGGAAAAATCAACCTAATCAGATACACTGTTTTCTACTTTCTTTTCCTTTCCTTCCCTCCTGCCTTAGGGATGTTACTGGCTGGTTTCACCATCAGGAATGTTCCGATTATTTATGAATTTGTCCATATTCCTACCACATGGTCTTCAGCTTTAAGAAACACTGCCCTTACTATTATCCTAATACGAGCCGGGCTTGGACTGGACCCAGAGGTAAGTTTCCCATTCAATTTTGAGTAAAAATTCTTTTACATATTAGAAAATAACAAATAAAAAGAAGCAAGATTTTTGGTATAGCTGTTCTAAGTAGAGTCTACATGTAAAACTAAAATAAAGATCGAAGACTTGACCAAATGTTGGTTTCATAATTTCTATTTCCAGCCGTCAGTATTTTTATGACGAGAAATCACTGATATAAGATCTCTATTAGTGGTCATCTTTAGTAACATGCATAGAAATAGATGTGCCTTAAGCAGGACCACTAGTAATTAACCGAGAGGCTTTCCCACAGGCATTCTTTACTTCCAGTTAACAAAGGCTAGGGTAATCCTATAAAACTGTCCTTCTCTCTCCGTTTTTAAAGAGAGATCAAAATTTTCAATAATTTGTTTTATGGCTGTAGAAATATGTTCATGATTAACTTTGTATTATTGTAAAAGCTCATTTAAAATATTTCTTAAAATACTATAATCTGGAGATCAGAAATCTGTTTGAGTCATTGAAATGTGACTTTTAATGGACATAATAGCTACAGAAATAAGTATGGGAAGTGTATATAGAGAGTTAATAAAATTATACCAAAGGGTAAATTATTATCACGAGTGATGGTTGAGCCATTAAGAAAATAGATAAGTTTTTCCTTTTGAAATATATTGAATTATTTTTTACGTTTGACATGTTAGTCTTTTTATTATTACTATTAAATAGTTCACCACCAATTAACTGGTGGGGAAAACCCAATGGGATGTTATCACTGTAATGTGCAATGGAAAAATTAAAGAAGGTAGAGATAACTAGAGAAGTAAATCTTTACAAATGACTAGACATGCACTTTATCAAGGGTGAATTGCTAGCCCTCAAAGAAACACTGTGCTATAATGTTTGCTTAAGTAATTGTCTTGCTGCCCTTTGTAGTTGAGCTAAATGCAGCCTTTTCTGTTTCAGGCTCTGAAGACTCTGAAGGGAGTATGTTTGAGATTGGCATTCGGCCCGTGCATCCTAGAAGCGTGCTCAGCGGCTTTATTCTCCCACTTCATTATGAACTTCCCTTGGCAATGGGGATTCCTATTAGGGTAATATTTTTTCCTTCTTTCATAGCATGAAATTACACAGTTAAATAAATGTATTTGATTAAAGCTTTAGATACTCTGAATATTATATAGCCAAGTTCTTCATTGAATCATTTTATTAGGGGTGAGCAAGAATCCTCGAAAATCAATTGATCGAAGATAGAGTCATGTTCACGTCTACCGAGTGCTGCTGGCCATGGTGTCCCCTCACGTAACCCCACACTAGAGAGGCTGACGTACTACCTTACTTAGCTCAAGGCCAGTCAGGGGTACTCAGACATAGCAAGATCCTATCTCTGAAAAAAATTGGCCATCAGTTACTCAAACATTCTTAGTTCCTCAGTGTGTAGAATAGTACAGTGTGTAGCCTCTCATCCTAGCCCCACTCCTGTTGTGTGTCTGTGTGTTTTAGTATGTCACATGACCTCTTTTTCATACACTATTGTATGTGTACATACAATATACACATACACATAGATTTATTATATACGTGAGAGATTTTATTAATGGGCATGTAAATAAAATGCTTCTATTTTCAGAGCATTAAAAATGCAAAACACCCTCTTCTGTCAGTGCAGAGCCCCATCAGTCTCCTCTGTTATCCATTCCCTCGTGTTAACATCCCTCAAGTTGGAAAAAAAATATCCCTCAAGTTGGAAGCACTGTCCATAGCTCGTAACTTATTTTCATCTTCAGTTCATTAACTCCCTCATCCACTTATACATTCCAGTCAAATTTGTAAAACAATCACCAATTGCACGCTTATTGCCAAATATAGTGAGTTTCACACTTTTATTGTGAAATACCCTAATACATGTATTCATACACACATATATAATATGCATACACACATATATCTGTGCTGGAAATCAAACCCACTGCCTCAAGTATATGAGGCAAGTATTCTGTCACTCAACTACACTCCTGGTATGTTGTTGTTATTTATCAAATAAAGCATAGCCACATGTAAAGCATAGCCACATGTAAAGCATAGCCACATGTAAAGCATAGCCACATGACATGCTTTCTGGTTATCCCTTCAGTCTGAAAGTTACCAGCGCGTCACGGCCTCTGCACTGATACTGCTGACTCACTTGCAGCAGTTTTTAGAGTCCATGAGTGACTCTCTGTTTTGAATTTAGCTTCTATTTCTCTGATAAGCACTGGCAGTAAGGACTGCTTTATGTACTGGAACTACCCATACAGGTTCTTTGGTAAAATGACAGTCAAATCCATTGTCAGTTTTTAAAATGTTGCTCCTTGATTTCTTACTGAATTTTAAAATATGTTTATATTCTTTTTATTTTATGTGTCTGGGTGTTCTGCTTGCATGTGCATCTGAGCACTACATGCATGCTACATCCACAGAAGTGAGAAGAGGGTGTCAGATTCTCTGGAAACGGAGTTGCATATGATTGTGAGCTGTCTTGTAGGTTCTGGAATTCCAGCCCAGACCCTTGGGAAGAGCAGCCAGTGCTGTCCACCACTGAGCCTGTCTCCAGCTCTCTCTGCTTATGTTCTAGACCAAAGTCTTTCATTTACGATATACAGTCCAAATTTTTCCTTCTAATACGTGACTTGTCTTTTAATTTCTTTCTTAACTAGCTAAATAGTGACTAAAAGAACAGAAATTTATTCTTCAAAGATCTGAAGACTGGAAGGCCAAGATGAAGATGTTGGTGGTTTGATTTCTCTTACGCCCTCTCTAGCTGGCTTTCAGATTGCCACCATCTTTCTGTGTCTTTTCACGGCCTGTCCTCTCATTATAGATATCCTTGTGGTCTCTTCCTGTTCTGATGAGGCACTGGGCCTCTTTGATCCAGGCCCACCCTTACAACTGCCTCTAACTGTCGCTGGTTCTTCAAAGGCTGTTTCTCTGAATTCAGTCTCATTACTGGTCAGCTTGACATGTGGATTTGTGAGGACAGGGACACAGTTCAGTCCATAACAGTCCCTAATTTGGCAAACCTTTCTTCCTGTAACAGTCCTCCTTTGCTCTCTCGTAGCCTTTAAATATAGGAATAATGTAGGATCAGCATGAGATCTTCTCATTCTTCTGTAACTTCTATTTCAAATTCTGTCTGTAAGTCATTAACTTTCAGATATATCATTCAAGTCTCATTGCCTTGGGCACAGGAAGTGCTTGGCAGCTTCTCCAAGTGACAGTACCACATCAGAAGAGGAGCCTGCCTGCCTCTCCAGTCAGAGGTCGTGTCCATCTCAGGCACCAGAAATGCCCATGGGAAATCATTAGCAGTTTCTTTTTATTTTCCATACTTACCGCGGCAATGAATGAACATTTTTGAAGAATTTGCTGCTTCTTCTGTGAGCTTCTCACATGTTAGTTCCTCTTTATGTTTGTCATGATGCTTTCATTCTCACATTATTTCAGTTTTACAGATGGAAAACAGTTATGGGATAGTCAGATGAATCGCTTCAAATTACACAACCTTTAGTGAGTGTGACTTAGTCTGAACACATGCTCACCCTTATGCGTGTGTGTATATAACACTTACGATGAGGTGACATTTCAAGTCAGGATAAGGAAGTAGTCAGCAAGTGTATTAAGGTAATTAGAATATTATTTGAGGAGAAACTACATTTTTATATATTTTTCTTGCAGTACATGTCAAATATAGTAAAGACTTAAAATGTTTAAGTTAAAAAGTTGAAAGCATTCAGATTTTTTTGTTTGTTTTCGAGACAGCATTTCTCTATGTAGCCTGGCCATCTTCGAACATAGACCAGGCCGACCTTGAACTCAGAGATCTAATTGCCTCTGCCTCCCTAGTGTTGGTATCAAAGGCACTGCCACCACCTCCTGACTCAGATTTCTTTTTCTTTTTTTTAAAGTTCACAAAGCAAAATATTTGTTTGTTTTAAATAGGCAGGTAACGTGATCTGTGGTCATATATAGCATGATACCTAGGACTACACATGTATCATGAAATGGTTAAATGTAACTTCAGTATGTATTACCTAACAGTTACGTGTTGGTGGAGAAAAGATGTAGCACTCACTCAGGAATGCTGAGAACCATATATCACTGTTGCTGTGCACCACAACAGATCTCATGAGCTCTTCCTCCTGCCTGCCTTTGTTTGTCTCTGTTGACCTGTGGCTTCCTAATCTCCCCATTAATTTTTAACAGTATCTCAAAGAGGAAATTTAAAATTTGATTTCAGTTTTCTGTTTCTTTTATGGTTTGTTCTATTTGTATAATATCGCAGATTTCCTAATACAAGCTTTTAGGTTTAGGCAGGTGCATTGGCCACCGCCAGTCAATTTTCATTGTTTGCCATGAGGTAGGAGCCGAGGTGCTTGAGCATTGCTTCTCTGCAAAGCTTTACAGATGTTCCCACACTGGTTACTGCATTGTACCAGCTTTGTCAGAAAATCATTATTTATACTTAGATATAACAACTATTTAGGATTTTACAGACTATTTGGATTATTTGTTCTGAGTTATTTATATTTTCATACTCATTTTAGTTTGCCAATTATTATTTTTAAAATAGCTTTTTGGATTTTTAATGTGATTGAATTGACTGTATAGATAATTTGGAATTGGTTAACTTACACAGTGTAGAATCAATGACTATGACCTTACATCCCTTTAATTAAGTCTTACTGAATTTTTAATCAGTGTTTTATAGTGTGTAGGTGTTTAGTGTAAATATGATACAGGCTTTTAAGGTTGATTCCTAAGCATTTTTATGTTTTTGATACTCTTATAAAGTTGGTTTCTATTTTTTTGTTTTTCTTTTTGTATTTTGAGACAGGATTTCTCTGTGTAACAGCCCTGGCTGTCTTAGAATGCTCACTGTAGACCAGGCTGGCCTCAAACTCACAGAGATCTGCCTGCCTCTGTCTCCCCAGAGCTGGGATTAAAGGTATGTGCCACCAAGTCCAGGGAAGTTTAAAAAAAAAAAAACTTTTAATTACCCATTGCTATTCTGTAGAAAATGTAGTATGTATATACACACATATTTGTGGATTTTTGTTTGTTTTAAAGATGTATTTAATTTTATTTTATGAGTGCTTGCCTAATGAATGTCTGGGCACTATGTGCATGTCTGGTGCCTACAGAGTTTGTTTGCATAGACTTTTATAGAACTGAATGGAGAATCCTGTCTACTAATTATTTCTGCTTTATTTACCCTTGCGCTATATCTATTCGTATTTTACATTTTGAAAATGAATTGCTGATATCTGAGAACTGTACTTATAGTGTTATTGGCCAATTCTGTATGTTTTCATCATTTAGGGGGCCTCTGTAGTAAAAGTAAGATCCTGGTTGCTACCTGTACAGTATGTATCTTTCCTCTGATACAGATTTTTATGCTTCATGATTTTTACAGGTTATATTTTTTGTCAGCTTGACACAAAGTAGGGTCATATAGAAGGGAGCATCTGTTGAGAAAATTCCTCCATTAAGCGGGTCTATGGGGTGTTTTCTTGACTAATAGTTGCTATGGGAGGGACCAGCCCACTGGGGGGCACTGACCTCCCTGGACAGGTGGTCCTGAGTACCATAAAGAAACAGATGCATCAAGCCATGAGGAGGAAGCCAGCAAGCAATGAGTGTTCCTCCATTGTCTTTTCATTAGCTCCTGCCTCCAGGGTGTAGCCTTGAGTTCAAGCCCTGACTTCTCTCCATGATGGACTATGAGCCAAAAGATTAAATAAAACCCTTTCCTTCCCCAAGTTGCATTTGGTCATGGTCTTTACAACAACAGTACAAATCAAATCAGGACAGAAATATCTACCAGTGTCATCAAGGATTACTGACTATATTGTTTGGAGGAGGATTGGGGATAGAGTTTGGAACATTGGGCTAGAAAAGCCATTGAGTGCTCAGAGCTTGACAAACTAACTGTTGAAGGATCTTGGATGATGGGGATGCTGAAAGGGATACAGATGATGGAGACCTGGCTTGTGAAGTTTCAGAGGGAAGCAGACTCTACCTTGGCCATTCATGTAATATTTTCAATTAAGACGATGTGGTTTCTGATCAGCTAGAGATGAGGAATCAACAGCAATGAACGAGAGCCAGAACCACTGAAGTGAAACCTTTGCTTTACTAGGATAATGGGTGCACTCACTGGGGCTGAAAAATCAGTGGTGATTAAGAAGAGATCTGCTTCACTGAAGTGAAATCTCAGCATATTTCTTAAGGATCGGCACACAGAAGCTTTGGTCCATTGAGGGCCAAGGCTGCATCTCATGCAGACAGCGTGACATGATAATATGTAAGAGTTTCCCAGGCGGTAGTGGTTTTGCATGAAGCGACTATGGAGAGCCAAGAAGCTTGGCACTGTAAAAGGCCAAGAGAGGCCATTGGTGAAGGTCCAGCTTGCAGTGGAAACCCCAGAATTGGAGGGCTCATGGGGAGAGACTGAACTTGGGAACATGTGGTCTGAAAGAGGCCACTGGTAAAGGTGCAGCCTGTGAGGTAACTGCATGTTGGAAATGCCAGAACTGTAGGATGACTGCCAAGATCAGGGACAGATGTGGCATGGAGCCAGCCTGAGCCAATGAGACAATGAGGCAGCCTGTGTGTGCTGTAGATGGCAGAGCCAGTGACGTGGGGCTGCAAAGCCTTTTGGAGCCTAGAGGATCATGAGTGGATTGTAGATACCAAGCACTGGACTTTTTACACTGGTGGACTTTAGTTTTCCTTTGGTTTGAGTGTGACTGTACCCTAGTTCTTCTCTTCTAGAATAAGGATTATGTAACTTGTTTTTTAAATTTTTTTTTAATTTTTTTATTTTACAGGTGATCACAAAGAAACTTTGGAGTTTTAGAGAAATTTTGTATATTTTTAAAAGATTGAACTGTTTCTTTCTCTTTTTTTTCATTTTTAGTTTTTTGGGATAGGGTTTCTTTGTGTAGGTCTGACTGTCCTGTCTGTCCCAAAACCCTGAAACTCATTATGTAGACCAGGCTTGCCTTGAACTCAGATCTTTCTACTTCTGCCTCCTGAGTGCTAGGATTAAAGGTGTGCACCACCATAAAAGATTGTATAAAAGGCCAGCATAAATGATTGTATTTAAAGTGTTTCTTTTTTTAAGACAAGGTATTACTATGTAGTCCTGACTGGTCTAGAACTTCCTCTGTAGACCAGGTAGTCCTTGAACTCAAGAGTTTCATTTGCCTCAAAAGTGAAGGTTTAAAGATAGTGGGACTTGGAATATAATTTATATTATACTAATAATATTAAATCTTGGGGATAAACAAGAAAGGAAAGGTTATTGTTTAATAGTAATGTATTGGCACATCAAGTTGACAAGGGCTCACTTTTCCTGGTAGAGTGCTTCTGTCAACCTGACATAAACAGGGGTCATCTAGAAAGAAAACATCTTCAACTGAAAAAAAATGCCTCCTTCAAATTGGTCTGTAGGCAAATCTATGGGGCATTTAATTGACTGATGATTGATATTGGAGGGCCTAGCCTACTGGTGACAGTGCCACCCTGGGTAGATGGCTCTGAGTTATATATAGAAGTAGTCTGAGGAAGCCACGGGAAGCAAGCCAGTAAACCACATTCTTCCATGGCCTCTACTTCAGTTCCTGAATGGATTCCTGCCCTGTCTTACCTTTGCTATCTACTATAAAAAGAAATAAACTCTTCAAGTTTGGTCATGGTGTTTATCACAGAAATAGAAACAAAACTAGGACACTCTCCAAATATCTGTATTATTTAATAGTTGCTTATTTGCATATTTTAGACTTTCCAATAACTGGAGATTTTTGTTTGTTTGTTTTGTTTTTGTTTCTTTATTTGAGACAGGGTTTCTCTGTGTAGTCCTGGCTGTCCTGGAACTCACTCTGTAGACCAGGCTGGGCTCAAACTCAGAAATCTGCCTGCCTCTGCCTCCCAAGTGCTGGGATTAAAGGGATGCAGCACCACTGCTTGGCATAACTGGAGATTTTTATCTGTGCTACTTATGTGTTAAAGAGAAAAAGGCACTTTTATTACTAAGTAAGATACTCAAAGTTTCCTAGAAACAAAGTCCTAGATTTGGATTCTTATATAAGTTATGTGTGAAAGAAGCTCTCAGTAGAAGATGCTGTGTGAAGGAAGCCATGTAAGATTTGGGAGAATCCCATCCTTTTTTTTTTTTTTAACAGTTAATTACTCAATGAACCTTCAGATTATATAGTAGAATAGAAGGCCACAGCCAGGTGTAGTGGTGCTTGCCTTTAATTTCGACTCTCTCGAGGTAGAAACAGGGGATCTCTGTGAGTTCAAGGCCAGCCTGGTCTACATAGCAAGTTCCAGGACAGCCAGGGCTATAGAAAGAGACCCTGTCTCAAAACAAACAAAAACAGACAGCTTCAAACTCTTCACCAAAAGATACATAAACCTTCTAACGTAGTATGGAAAAGATTACCTTCGTGAGAATTGTAGGCGTCACTGCAGATGTTACAATATCCCTAGCAAATACAAGCTAAGAAATTATGAATTGGATTAGTAAAATCTGATGCATTTAACAGCCACATCTCATGTGGTTTTGCCTTTCTACATGTCTCTGAACAATGAAGTTCTCACTTCCCAGGTGAGAATTTGGTAATGACTTCTTGAGTATGAAACTGGATTTATCTGCAGTAAAAGCAAATATAGACCAAGGTAGCTATATCAAACCTTTAAAGCTTTCCTCAGGTGATGAAACTATCTAAAATTAGTTATACATATGTAAAAAGCATATACCTGCTAGGAACTTAATATCTTCAATACATAAAGAATTTCTGCAACTCAACTTTTCAAAAGTTATTTAGCTAGGCATGGGGCCTTGTACCTATAATTCCAGTACTTAGAAAGCTGCATCAGAAAGGTTGTTTTGAATTCAAGGCCAGTCTGGGATACAGAGTAAGACACTTTCTCACAAGAAGTGTGCGTGTGCATGTGCATGTGCGTGTGCATGTGTGTATGTGCGTGTATGTGTCAGAGACATTTCTCCACAGAAAATAGACAAATGGCCAACAAAGATCTGAAGTGCTTATCATCTCTAAGTATCAGAAAACAAAAGTTAAAAAATATATCTCTGTGCATACATTAGGCTGACATGTATGTATAATATTGGCAAGGACATGGAGAAACTGGATCTATTGTGTTTAGCTGGTGGGATTATGAAATGGTAGAGCCACCATGTAAGTGTTTTAGAGCATCCACCATGTGCAGTTACAGTGCCTTTAAATATGTAACGTATCTTTTGCAGCAATGGTAAACACATTGGGCTTGTAAACCCTCTGTTGCTTACACTTGGAATACTGGTTTCTTGTCCTTTGAGGAGTCTCTTGTTGTTTGCTAGTTGTGTTATGAATTTTCTAATTGTATTGACATCTTCATTTTAAAGGATAAGGACAGAGGAAAGGTCTACAATTTGCGCTCAGTCCAGTTTCTTAAGATACATCTCTGTGAAGTTTTACCCAGCACTAAATAACATACGCAGTGCCCCGTCACCACGAAGTGGCTTTTACTCAAAAGCATAATGATGTCCTGTGAAGTGAACAACAAAACACCAGTTGCCTAAAAGGACAGATGGGTTCACAAAGTCTGCCTTTCAGTTTTGTCCTAGGTGCTGTCTCTCCTGCTGTTGTCGTCCCCAACATGCTACTGTTGCAAGAGAATGGATATGGTGTTGAGAAAGGCATCCCGACCTTACTAGTGGCTGCTAGCAGTCTGGATGACATCGTGGCCATCACTGGATTCAACACATTCTTGAGCATAGTCTTTTCCTCGGGTAAATAAAAGAAAGTACAACCTTCTTCTGTAGTTCTTTAAGCTGGGTTTGTGACATTCCCTCTAGATTTATTAAAACTTTAATATCTCTTTATTCTTCATAGAAAACTCATCTTGACCAGGTAAGATGCTCCAATAGATCTTTTAAAAATTAAAAAATAAAACAAATTCTCCAAAAGCACCCAAACAATACGTAACAAAATGACTTCATTTTTGTGCTGAACTTTTCTAATTAGTTTATCTTCATCTTTGACATTGATCTAGTTTTGGTGCTTTGAAATCTTGTCAGTTTTCACTAAGTGAATTATAAGCAGTAGTATTAACAGTACTACTAATACATTGACTAAGTGTTTTTCAAATGTATGTTGTTTACCATCCTAAAAACATGCTGCTTGGTGTTAAGACAATTCAAGCATACAAAACTGGGGCGACAGTGTGCCCTTTTGGTAGTGTTAAGACAAAAATCTCAAGGCACCAGTTCAGATTCACAAGCTGGTACTTGGTCTTGACCAGCTTGGCTAATACTGTGACAATAGAAACTGGGCTCATAAAGAGCCCAGACTGCAGTAAAGAGGGAGGAGCCACCGTCATATCACTAGAGGCCGTGCTATCCTGGGTGCTGGTAGTTCCCAGGCTTGACCACTGCTGAGACCAAGAACCCACCGTGGTGACCTAGATACAGTAAGATTCACACAGCCAAGGAGAATCCACTGGAATTCACAGTTGACCAGAGGCCCTGGAGAGACAGTGTGCTCGAAGCATTCCTGGGGGAAACAGATGGGAACCCAAGTGGCACCTAGAAGTCAGTGTTGCCCAGTACAGGGAGCTGCAGTGATTTGCAAAGGAACTTGCATCTTCTTCTCGGACTCTGGATGAATGGAATGGCAGACGACTTTCCATAGAAACTGAATGCTCTGGTTTTCAGAGTTGGATTGGCAGACACAATTTTCTTTGGTGGAAAGAATTTTATCTCATGATGGTTGCCTCCACATGCTCTTGATGGACACCATGAAGTCAGTCTGTCACAGCTGGAAGTCCCTTGACCCAGCTTCTACTCCCAACAGTGTACCATTGCTTGAGTTCGCCACCTGCTGCTTACTTTGGAATATCAGAAGCCCCTTCCCGGCATTCCCAGCAGGTCCTCTAAGACTGAAAAGGCATAGCAATATCTGTGGCCATGGTGGCTCTGGCAGTCATAGTGTTGGAACATTGCATAATTCTAGACAAGACCTGGAGGAGGAGTGACCACTCGGCCCTCCTAGAGCTTGGGGAATTGGCAACACTGGTGCCGTCAGGTGCAGAAAGTACCAGGCTCTCCAGCCAAATAGTGAGGTGAGCCGCAGTGAGACGCTGACAAAATCCCTAGTGGCCAAAGTGAGGATGGCAGAAGGTGCCTTCTAACACAGGACATGCTCACTGTGAAAACGGGTGAGCACAGAGGCTGCCCTCCTGAAGACATAATATGTAGTTGTCGAAAATCTGTTGATGGAAATGACAACCACAGAATTGGGTGGAAAACACATAGCAAGAAAATCAGGTCTCAAAAGTGCTATTTGGAATTCTTAGCTTTAAAAATATTTTCAAAAGTGAGCATTTCTCCAGACGTTAACGCTTAGATTATCTATAGTATTTAAAATTCAGTTGTCTATATTATAGAAGCATTGAGATAGCTTTAGTTTGAAAAGTGGTGTGGAAAGAGCTGGATGTGGTAGTATGCTTACATCCTCAGCATTTTAGGAGATGGGGAAGGAATCACATGATCCAGGAGTTCAAGGCCAGCTAGACTCAGTCTCCTTTTTTTTAAATTGGAAAATTAAGATAAGAATAAAATGTGTAATTGTTATCCCCGTAAGGTAAGAATATATTTCTCAGCCTTATTATATAAACCTTCTCTCTCTCTCTCTCACCTCTGTTCTCTTTCTCTCTGTCTCCCACTATTTTGTGTGTTTCTGTGTCTAAGTGTGTACATGTGTGCGTGCATGCCGTGTGGGTATGTATAACGTGTGCGTGTAGAGGCCAGAGGTTGGCATTGGATGTTTTCTTCAGTCATTCTCCATTTTATTGCTGAGACAGGATCTTCCCCTGTGTCTGCATCTCAGCAGTGTGGCTAGGCTGACTGGCCAGTGAGTTCCAGAGCTCCTTCTGTGTCCACCTTCTCAGTCCTGGGACTAGAGATGCCCAGCTTTTTACATGCAGAGGATCCATGTCAGTTTCTCAGGCCTGGCTTCTAGCATTTTACTAATGGAGCCATCTCCCTACCCCTCTCCCATTGTTCTTATAAACCAATTGCTGAACATTGTCCATACTGTCGACAGGAAAACATTGAGGCATATAGATAAAAGTATTTACCAGCCAGAAGCTCAGTAAGATAATCCTCAAAAAGAAAGTGTTGTTCTCTTGAGGGGCAGTGTGTCCTTTTATGTAGCAGTTAAGAGAAGTTATATGGCCTTGCCTCCTGGACCATATTGTGCAGTTGTATTTTGATAGAGTTCAGGAGGGGAGCTCACTATCTTGGAGTCATAAGTTGAAAAAGGCCACTTGTCCTTAAAACTGACCATTGGAATGAGGGGCCAGTAACAGGCTCTAATTGTTTATGGTATTACAATCCACTGAGCCAGCATCTAAGCAATTAGGGTCCCATCATTAGGGAGTGAAGAGTTTTGCTTTTTATTTTTGGCCCCTTTATTTTTGACTTTATTATTTCATTTATTGTCACTGTGGCAGATAGAATAGGGGTAAGGGACATGGGGTGCATACACAGACCAGATGTAGAGGTCAGAGGACTTTTAGGACTTGGTTCTCTTCTTCTTTTAAGTTTTATTTATATGTGTGTATGCTACCTCTATGTGGATACCCTCAGAGCTAGAGTCACAGGCAGCTGTGTGCTGCGCACTGTGAATGCTAAGAACAACTTTCAGCCTCTGAACGGGCAGTCTGACTAGCTCTGAAGTCATCTCTCCATCCCCAGTTCTCTCCTTTCAACCCTGAGTCCTGGGCATTGGATCAGATGCCAGGCTTGTATGGCAAGTGCTTTTATCCCTGCTGAACTGGCCTAACAGCCCTAATTTTTTAAAGTTTATTTTTACTGTTTTTTTAATTGTTTTGTTTATGTGTGTTTTGCCTAAATGTGTGTTTGTGCACCCGATGTGTTTGTATCAGTGCCCACAGAAGCCAAAAGAGGGTGTTGGATCATTGGAACTGGAGTTACAGGTGGTTATGAGCCACCATGGGGGGCCTTGAACTGAACCCAGATCCTCTGCAAAAGAAACCAGTGCTCTTAACTGCTGAGCCATCATTCCCGCCCTGTTAACATCTCCAGTTTTTGCCTTTCATTGCTACACATAATCTAAATTATTTTCCTGTTAACTTTATTATCACAAACATACTTTTCATATAAAAAATAATTTATCTTGAGACAGGACAACTTGAGACAACTATTGTTACAGTGGCTGGCATGGAATTCCTTGTCGTACTTGTCAAATCTACCAAACAACACATAACAATCCAGGGAATATTTTTTGTCATTTTGAATGATTGTATAGTATCAGTAAACTGCTTCAGAATTATTAACCTGTACAGAATTGTAACTGACTACAATATTTGCTGTTAAAATAATACTTAGTTAAATATCTTATGTAGGAGCATCTGTACCTAAGCTAAGTGTTTTCTTTCCTTGCTGTTTTATTTTTGTTTTGTTTTAAGACAGGCTCATTTCCTAGCCCAGGCTGGCCTGGAACTCACTGTGTAGCCCAGGCTAGCTTTCCACTTGCTGCAATTCTCCTGTCTAAGCCACCTCCCCCCCAGTACTAGGTTAAAGGTGTGAGCCACCATTTCTGGCTTCTTAATGGAGAAAGTATCTTCTGCAAATTGTGATGGGGAAACTTGGCATTGAACTGTGACATTGAACTTGGCAATAGCTTCTTGGATAGAACACTAACAATCACTGGCTACAAAAGCAAAAATTGGTATAATATGGATATCAAACTTAAAGATGTACATACCACACCAACCAGAGTGGAAGTATGGAATTGGAGAATGTCCTCACATGAAGGGTTGATAGTGTGAAGATTATGTGGAAAAACTGTAACTCAAGAACAAGAAAATGCCCAGAATAAAAGTGAAAGAGGAAGCCCTTGCTGAGGTCTGAAAGTTCACATGTCTCCAGAATTCCCACTCTGGAGCCTAACGCCCAGTGTGAGGTCTGAGCTTTGGCCTGTAGAGAATTATGAGGTGAGCAGTCCTCATGGATGCTGTGATGGCTCTTTCAAAAGGTATCACTGGAGCGCTTCCTCCACAGGAGACCAAAAGAAAAGAGAACCTGTGGGGAAAAGGCTTTTACCAGACACCGAAGCGACTGATGTTTGCCTTCTTGCTCTCCAGAATTGAGAAAAGTAAATCTAGATTGTTTGCAGATGACTAATGCTCAAAGACTGGAATTAGATGTGAAAGAAGAGACACGAGTCACTAACAGGCATCTGAAAAATGTTCAGCACGTGTAATAGCGAGAGAGGTACAAATCAAGAGCAGAGTGTGGGCAGCTCTCCTTTGAGCAGTCCTGACCCGCTCACAGTCGGGTTTCACTTTCTGCAAGTCTTCTTTAAGAAGACCACACCCATGATCTTGGGTGTGGCTTACCCCTCTTTCCCTTATGCCTTGTGCTTTTTTTTTTTATTGGATGTTTTATTTACATTTCCTATGTTGTCCCCTTACCCCATCCCCCACCCACTCGGAACCCCCAATCCCCTCACCCCTCCTCCTTCTTCTCTAAGGTTCTCTTCTTCCACCTATGCCCAGCAGGGCCCTCCACTCTTACATATTCAGTTGAAGCCCTGGATCCCCCCCACCAAGTGCTCCCAGGCTGGTGGTTTAGACCCTGGGAGCTGTGGTTGGTTGGTATTATTGTTCTCCTCATGGTGCCGCAAATCCTTTCAGCTCCTTCAGTCTTCACTCTAACTCCTCTATTGAGAAACCCATGATCAGTTCAATGGCTAGTTGTGAGCATCTGCCTCTGAATATGTCAGACTCTTGAAGACCTCTGAGGAGACATCCATATCAGGCTCTTATCAGCATGCACTTCCTGACTTCCACATCAGCATCTACCTTTGGTGACTGCACATGGGATGGATACTCAGGTGGAAAGGTCTTCAGACGGCCCCTCCTTCAGTTTTTGTCCCTCACTTTGTCTCCATATTTGTTCCCTTGAGTATTTTGTTGCTCCTTCTAAGAAGGACCGAATCACCCCCCACTTGGTCTTCCTTCTTTATGGACTTCATGTGGCCTGTGAGTTGCATCTTGGGCATTTCAAGGTTCTGGGCTAATATCCAATAATCAGTGAGTGAATACCATGTGTGTTCTTTTGTGATTATGCCTTGTGCTTTAAAGTCTGGATTAGAATACCTTTCTTAAACTCCAGCTGTGCTTCGTAAAAAGAGCAAAGCGTCAGATTGCACATGCATGAAGAGCACTAGAGTGTTGCTCTTTGCCATTCTTCACTATTCAGTGTAAATTTTAGGGTTTTCTTTTCCATCTCTAATAAAGTATCCTTGAATTTTTTTTATAGGACTCACATATCCCCAAGAGGTTTTTCAGCTAGTATGGGCTTCATAACTATATTGAATCTTCTAATCATGCACGGATGTATTTTTCATTTACATGTATCCATAACTTCTCTCAGCCATGTTTGTAAATATCAGTACAAGCCTTTCATCTCCTTAATTACATTTATTCTTTATTTCTTTTTTATATTATTCAAAGTAAGTTCCTTCCTTTTCTTTTCACTGTTAGTATATGAAACAACTGGTGTGTCACTGTTGACTTGGGAGCACACGACTCTGCAGGTTTCATTTCGTAGGTCTTTCTTAGTTTCTAAGGTTTATGTTTGGAGGATGAATGTTAGGATTCTCTGTGTGTCTCATTGTGTATATGTGTGTGCAGGGGTGCGGGTGGAAGGCACGCCAAGGTCTCATGTGGAATCATAGAACTACCACGTGTCAGTCCTGGCCTTGGACCTTGTGTTGAGACTGAGTCTCGTCATTCCTTGCTCTGTACACCACGCTATGGGCCTGGCGCTTTCAAAACTGCCATCTCTACCTTCCATCTCTCTTTATTGGTCACTGGGGTCAATGAATCTCTCTTCATTGGTTACAAATGCGTCTATTAATACTGCATCTGGCTTTCTAATGTGGGTTCTGGGACCCTAATTCAAATTGTCTGGCTTGCAAAGCAACACTTTATACACCAAGCCATCTTTTTAGCCCCAGATTCTAAGGTTTTCTGTATGTAAGTTCAGTCCACTTAAGAGAAATTTTTTTTTTCTTTTCCAATTTGGATGCCTTTTATTTCTCATCTTGCCTATTTCCTCTGGCTAGAACTCCCAGTACCTTGAGAATAGAATTGGGGAAAATTGCATCATTGTCCTATTTCTGATCTTTAAAAGAAAAAATTTCATTTCACTGGTCCATACAAAGTTAGCTGTGGGCTTTTCTTCTAGGGCTTTATCAGGAGATAAATTGCTTCCATTCTGAATTGAGTAACTTCACCACAAAAGATCGTTGGATTTGTCAAATGCTGCATCAAACAAGGTGGTCTTGTGATTTCTGTCTCTTCTTCTTTTGATGTACTGTATCACAGGAAAGAGTTTTGTATTTTGACCCCAGATAAGAAACATTTTGGAGGGGCTAAAGAGATGGTTCAGTAGTTAAGAGCACTTGCTGCTTTCCAGAATACCTGGTGTGGTTTCCAGCATCTACATGATGGCTTAAAACTGTCTCTACTTTGCGTCTAGCCAATCCAATGCCTTCTTCTGGCATCTACAAACATCAGGCACACACATGGTACATATACTTAAATGCAGACGAGGTGCAAATAGAATAAATGAAGTCTTTTAAAAATCCATTTGCATCCCTTTGCATTCCAAGATTAAATTCAACTTGATCATGTTGTATAATCCAGTTAATGTGCTGTTGAGCTCAGTTAACTCGTAGTGAAGATTCTTGCATGTTTATTAGGAATATTTGCTTGTAGTTTTCTTACAGTATGTTTGACTTTAGCATCAAGATAATGCTGGCCTTATAAAATGGGTTTGGGGGCTCTTCCTGCTCTTCAGCTTATATTTTCTAAGAATTTGCAAACTTCTGATGCTTTTCCTTTGTATGCTTGGCACAATTTCAAAAGCACTCCAATTCAGGAGCACACCTTCGACCTCTCCTTTGTTCTTGACATCACTTGAGTATCCAGAGTATGCAGGAACAGAGGAGACAAAGGCCAGTACTTCAGGCAACCTCTAAAACTGTCCCTTTTTTTCTTTTCCTTTCAGTGGAGAAGTAGCAGGTGGGATAACTACCCCCATCTGTGGCAGCGCAGCAGTGGGGGATGGGCTGCCAGGGTACAACACACTAGCTGGTCCTATTTGTTTGCACATGTTCTTGACTTTCATTTATCTAGATTGCCATGTCTTCTTAGTTGGGTTATGGAGTTCCAGACAGGCTTTCTTTTTAAATTGAGGATCAAGGGTTTTTTTTTATTTGTTAGTTTACTTTTTTTACTCACAGTGACTCGGGGTGTACATTATTTATTCATACTAAAACATATTGAAAACCTATTTGACTTGTCTATATCTAGGATTAACCTTGGGATCCAGTTGTTTTATGTGGTTTTGCTGGTAAGTTGTCCCATCTACATGTATGTGGTTTGTTTATTTTGCACAGAGCATATCAAAATTGTCAGCATGCCCAACCTGGGGCCACAGTCCCTGTCCACACTTGTCACCTGTACGTGGTCTGATAGGTCAAGTGTAAAAAGAGCACATGATTTCTTTGTTTCTGACCCATTTATTGTGTTTATATTAAATTATTAAGAGTACACATTTAACTTCAGATAGATCTGAATACATTTTTACACATGCCACTAGTAATGGTCCAGTTTTGTATGCTGTTCTATGAAATGTTAATCTTCCTCATGAACCACATAGGTCTTATTCTCTAATATATAGTATGCATGAAAATATTTCTCAGTAAAAAGTTTCTCTTGTTTTGTGCCTTTACAGGTAGTGTAATTAGCAATGTCCTGTCATCCTTGAGGGATGTTCTTATTGGTGTGCTGGTAGGAATTGTTATGGGAATTTTTGTTCAGTATTTTCCAAGTGGAGATCAGGTAAATAATAATAAAATACGTATGTATGATTTGTAGAATGTTAGTGTGTTAATCAGCCTCCCGTTACTATAATGAACTCCCCGGGTACTTAATCTGTAACACAGAAGGTTTTGGAGGTTCCAGTTTGCTATGGACTTGCCCCATCACCCTGGCAAGTGTACCTTTTAGCAGCCTTGGAGCACCACCAAAGAAAGGAGGGACTGGAACCCAACAACTTGCTTTAGGCATATGCTTTTCTGGTTTCCAGAGGTTCCGCCGTGCCCTGCACCACCACCCCAATCAAACTTGTAACACGAGGGCTTTTGCTGGAACAGACCACATCCGAGCTACAGCATGGGTATAGATGGGTGTAGCATAGAACTTCCTGAGATGACTTTAGAAAGGACTGGGAAATGTAAAATTCCATACTTAAGACTCCTCGAAAGTTGCCGTGGTGCCTACTGTCTGACTAAAACAGCCTAATAGTGGTTGATTCCAAGCATTCTCAGTTAGTGTCACTGTGTCCTGATCTGGCAAATTAAACTACTGAGAACAGTGAAAATGACTGCCATCTTCCTTCCGCCCACCTGCATTTCCACTAAGGTAGTCATTGATGCTTAACAATTTTCTGAGTCTTCTTTCCTCAAATTTTTTCTCGAACATCTTTGAAACAGATAAGTTCCCGTTTATCCTTCCATATTTTCTGATTTAAATTTGCCTCCATTCCCTTTGATGGGTTTTAGACCAGGTTGTGGGTGGCGTTGGTGGCAATTTTAATACAGTCACTATATCGCTGAGGCTGGTTTTGAACTCAACAGTTGTCATTTTCCTGCCTCAGCTTGTAATTTGGCAATTTGCATCAAAGTTACCAAATCTTTTAAATAAAGAAATCTGTTCAGGAGAGTCTGGTAAGCACTATGCGGTTGGTGTCAGAGCTATGTAAAGTGTGAAAGTCTCATGCATGATGAATTGTCACTTGGTTCTGCATCTGCCCAAAAGTTTTGATGCAAAATCAAACCAACATTTGGAGACTATTTGACATAACCTTTACAAATATTTTAGCAAAGGGTAAAAAAAAAAAAGATAGATAATACCACATCTTGTATGTTTGATGTAAAACAACTTCTAAATGTGTGTTTCTAGGAGAGACTTACACAGAGGCGAGCCTTCCTAGTTCTGAGTATGTGTATTTCTGCTGTCTTAGGCTGTCAGCACATTGGCTTACATGGATCTGGAGGACTGGTCACACTAGTGTTGACGTTCATGGCAGCAAAAAAATGGGCTGAAGAGAAGGTGAGTTGTTTTTTAAAATAAAATGGCTGCATTTTGAAATTTATAATGAACATTCAGGAAGTCGTCTCCATCTAGCTGGAAGATGTCCCACTTCCTCCAGGAAGTGATGTGCCAGGATCGAGGAGTTAGGATTACGGAAAGCCACTTTGAACTACAGTTAAATGCAGTTGGAAGCTGTGTTCCCCAAGCCAGGGTTTCCCCCAAGTTTTGTGATTTGATCATGTGGTTCTTATGAATTATCTTAGTCTTCAAATTTTTAGTTCTATAATTCACCAATGAAAACATGTTCCTGAAACTTAGCATATCTGTGCCCCAAACTACATTGTTTTGTTTTTGTTTTTTTCTAATACATTAGTTAGTGTTTGAGTTAAGTCAGCTAAAGGGGGATCTTTACTCTGCTCACTATGTATGTTTGGTTTTCCTTTCCTTAAATGAACTTGTTTAATTTATGCTTAATTATTATTATGACCACCACCACCATCCCTCCCTCCATCTATCCCTCTCTCCTTCCATCCATCCATCCATCCATCATTCATCCATCCATCCATCCATCCATCATCCATCCATCATCCATCCATCATCCATCCATCCATCCATCCATCATCCATCCATCATCCATCTATCCATCCCTCCATCCATTATCCATCCATCATCCATCCATCCATCCCTCCATCCATCATCCATCCATCCATCATCCATCCATCATCCATCATCCATCCATCATCCATCCATCCATCATCCATCCATCATCCATCCATCCATCATCCATCCATCATCCATCCATCCATCATCATCACTTTAGTCTATGGGAAGGGGCATGGAAGTCAGAGAAGTCACTTGTTTCTTTCCAGTGGGTGGGTCCTGGGACTCAAATTCATGTTGTCAAGCTTTGTGGCAGGCAGCTTGACCCACCGAAGCAGTTCACCCACCCAACTTATACTTACTTTTAACTGATGGCATAAAAAATCATGGTACAAAAGAGGAAACATGTTCATAAAGATCAAAACATATAGAATGAATGCAAAAGTCCCTACCCCCTAAATATTTAGCTTATTCCCATAAATTAATAATCTCAACCAATACTATATTTGTAGATATGTGTACATGTATACATATGTTTCACTTTTAAAATAAAAATATTACTGCCATGAACAGATTTCTTCATGTAGCCTTTTCATATATACAAGTATTCTGTAGGAATGGAATTTCTGGGTTAAAAGTAGTCTTTATTTTGACAGATACTGCCAAATTGTCACTTGGAAAGATTTTTAGTATTTATACTCCAGTCAACAGAATAGGAGAGTTACTAAAAACAGCTTTGAAATGGGCAACATGAGTCTTGGGAGGCAAACCTATGAAAGTGGCAGAGTATTTCCTTTCTGCCTGTTCATGACCTATCTAAAGTCAGGGTCATGGCCTGGGCTCCAGAATTGTCATTAGGCAGGTTTCCCTGCTCTTGAAAGCCCAGCAGTTGCATGAGCTGTGTGTGTTCTTGTCCCACATGTCGTGTCTCTACCCATAGGACGCGCTCTGAGTATCACTAGGTCTCCAAAGACTTTCTTTTCTGGAACACAATGATGAGATGACACTGCATACTGTATAGCTGTGTGTCCATCCTTAACCAAATTTACTCAACTTTCAGAATTTAAATTTTAACCTTTTCCTAAAAAAATGACGCATCATCAGTATTTTTTAAAAGATTTATTTATGTATATGAGTACACTGTAGCTGTCCTCAGACACACCAGCAGAGGGCATCAGAATCATTACAAATGGTCATGAGCCACCATGTGGTTGCTGGGAATTGAATTCAAGACCTCTGGAAGAGCAGTTAGTGCCCTTAACCATTAAGCCACCTCACCAGACCCAGTTTACTAAGTTTTAAAAATGGCTTTAAGTTTCTGAAATGCAGCTAAATTTATGCCCACAATAATAAAAAGAAAAAAAAAAAGTAAAAATCTGAAGTGCAGTAATCTTTACAGTCTATAATAACTGAAATATATTTCTCTTTCCTCTAGGTTGGAATCCAAAAAATTGTTGCGAACACATGGAATGTTTTTCAGCCACTTCTCTTTGGCTTAGTTGGAACAGAAGTATCTGTTGATGCTCTTGAATCGAAAACTATTGGTAAGACTGCATAAAGCACAGAAGGTTGAAAATACAAGATGTTTTAAATGATGAATACTTTATTTTTGTTCATACCGTGTCTTTGAGGTGCTTTAAAGATAACACTGATCACATCTGCTCTCTTTTCCTCCACCTGTGCATTTCTTTGTTTTCAGTCAAAGGCAACCCTACCACCCATGTGATCCCAAGAAATAGGCTACAGGAAACACTAGACACTGTTCGATGCTTCTGATTGCATTTCTTTAAACACATTCCATCGAATGAACAGAATGTCATATCTCAATCCTTCTTCTCATGGTTCCCCCACCATGACCTCATCTAAGACTTTAGACAGAAGCCTCCTCAGAGGCTGGGGAGATGGCTTGGCCAGTAAATTGCTAGACATACAATACTTAGGACTATGCTTGATCCATCCCCAGTCCCATGACAGAAGCAGTCTCAGGCACACTAGGAGGAGAGACAGGATCCCTGAGGCTTGCCAGGATAGTCTCACAAGGGAGCCATGGAGGAAGACACCAACACAGACCCCTACATACAGACAGACACACAACAGCAACCTTGTTTTTACTTTATACTTTTTATAATCACTATTTTTAATTAAAAATAGATATAATGAAGCAACAGCCCCAGTATTTTCCGAAATTTTAAGATTCATCTCTCTTGGCAAAAACAGCTTTGTTTTTACATGTGTTTATGTGTGTTGTAGGCATGTGCATTGCTACCTTGGGTTTGGCACTGTGTGTTCGAATGTTATCCACTTTTGTACTGATGTCTTTTGCTAACTTTCGTTTTAAGGAGAAAGTATTTATTGCTCTCTCATGGATCCCTAAAGCTACAGTCCAGGTAGGAACATAGTAAGTCATTATAACAATGTTGTTTTTGATAAGTTTTTAAAGTTCTAAATGAAAACTATCTCTCGAGTCACACATTATCATCCAATCTACCTAACTTCTGTCATGTTTGATTCTTTACAGTTTCAAACCCAGAGCTGGGAAGAGTGCTCAGGGGAAAGAGTGTTACTGTGCAAGTGTAGAATGGGAGTTTGGGTCCCAGCACCTACATAAAAACAGGCTTGGCTTCAGAGCCTGTAATCCCAGTGCTCGATGTGGAGAAAGAAGGGCGGGGGCAGAGGTGATAGGAGGGTTACTGTGGTTTGGCAGCCTCCAGTACATCAGTACAACTGGAAGTCCATGTTTCCCAGGAATAAGGCAGAGAGAGACAGAATGGCTGGCGTCATCTGGACTCCCTAAGTGCACAAGCATGCATACACATGTACACATACACACGTACATACATGTACGCATGTACACACACGTACACACATATGCACACACATACACACATGTATACACACGTGCACACATGTATACACATGCACACACATGTACACACAGACACACATGTACACATAGACACACGTACACATACAGATACATGTGTACATACACATGCACACTTAACACTTAAAAGGGTTTATTTTTAAAGCAATTACTCTGAAATTGAGAAGAAAATGACAAATAATCTCCAAATTTTATGAAAATGCTTTCTTTTTCTACTTCCCTAAAGTATAAGATAAACTAAGGTGTGGTGGCATATACTTTTATTCAAGCCCCTGGGAGGCAGAGGCAGGCAGATCACTGTAACCTCCAGGACAGCCTGGTCTATATGTAGCGAGTTCTAGGACTGCCAGGGCTGCATATATAGACCATAGATACTTGTTTTTATGCTACATGACTGTCACTGCACAGGAAGGACAGAGAGTGTCTTTGGGAACATTTTTTCATTTTCATTTTCCCCTGTTGCTTAACATCATATCTGATAGAAAGAATGTTGTCTTAGTTAAGGTTTCTGTCGCTGTAATAAACATTATGACACAAGCAGCTCGGGGAGGAAAGGGTTATTTCATCTTAGACTTTGATGTCATCAAGAGAAGTCAGCCCAGGAACTTGAGGCAGGGCCAAAGCAAACATCATGGAGAACCAATGTCGCTTACTGGCTTGCTTTTCATAACTTGCTCGGCTTGCTTTCTTAAACCATTCAAGACTATGGATGGATCCAAGGGTAGCTCCTCCCACAGTGGGCTGGGGCCTCCCACATCAGTCATTAATCAAGAAAATAGTGAGAAGACTTGCCCACAGGCAATCTGATAGCGACATTTTCTCAATTGAGGGTCTTCTTCCCAAACACTCTAACTTGTGTCAAGTTGAGAAACAAACAAACCCCCTAGCCAGGACTGAGGTTAACATCCCCTGCATATCTACACAAACAAGTGATTGAATCAATCCAAATCTGTAATAATTTCCTACTATTAAGAGGTATTGTTACTTATTGTTCAACTGTTAACATGGCAGCATAAGATCTTGCTTTCCTGGGATTTTTCTTTCTCCGTTTTGCTGTTACAAAATAGAAGCTTGTACATTTCTATGAAACAAAATGATTAGGGTTAGAACTCGAGGCTTTAAGGCCAGACTTGGTGTTGAATGCACTGTTGCTGCTAGGTCATTAGCTGGTTACTCCTTCATCTCTCAGCTCATGGATTTGCTTATGTTGCATACGGTTCTATGACTGTATTTACTAAAAGGTGGTATTGTGGGAGTGGGTGAAATCACTTCTGTCAAACTCGCAGCATAACTTCTGACATATAGTCCTCACCCATGAACAATATTATAGTTATTTTATCTTACCTGTAAGGCATAAACAGTAATAACTTGTTTTTATTTTAGAGAACAATTGATCTATAAAAAGAATGTCTGTCTGTCTGTCTGTCTGTTACACCTACTTCCAGTGATACACTGTGGTTTTGGATTAGTCATCATTTCCTAAATCAGGATGAAAGACAAGCAGTTATGCAGAAGCTCCCTTCCCCAAGGGCTCACTCTGCGGCTTCTTGTCTCCTTTCCCTAGCATCCAGGCTAAGCTGTATAGTGTGCAAAGGTTAAGAACTGGAAAAACTGGGGGCTGGAGAGATGGCTCAGCGGTTAAGAGCACTGACTGCTTTTCCAGAGGTCCTGAGTTCATATCCCAGCAACCACATGGTGGCTCACAACCATCCGTAATGAGATTGGATGCCCTCTTCTGGTGTGTCTGAAGACAGCGACAGTGTACTCATCAATAAAATAAATAAATAAATAAATATTTAAAAAAAAAGAACTGGAAAAACTAATATACCAATTGTTTTTCAAACTCAAGATCTTGTACATGGTAGGCAAGTACTCTACCACTAACCTATAACACTAGCCATGTATCCCACATATGAGTTAGAACAAATATTTTAAATTTAACATCTTTCCCCTCTTCTTCCCTCTTCTTTCCTATTCCGGTTTGTCCGGGTTGCTTTCTTCCAGAAATATTTGCTAGGAAGAATATACAATTAGTGATTAAATTATACAAATTACCTTTGGTTTTTTTTCCAGTACTTTTTCACTCAGTTTCATTGTGTGCATTTATAACAGCCATTTACTTTTATTAAATGTTAATTCTTCGTAACATTTTTTTCCGTGTCCTCCCTAACTGCAGGCTGTCTTAGGCCCCCTGGCTCTAGAAACAGCAAGGGTCATGGCACCCCACTTGGAAGGATATTCGAAGAATGTGATGACAGTGGCCTTTCTAGCCATCCTCATTACAGCTCCAAATGGAGCCCTCCTCATTGGCATACTGGGACCCAAAATACTTGAACGTAGTAAGAGTTCATTCCCCTTAAAAATGGACCTTTCAGGCTTTCAACATTAAAAAGTTTGTTGTGACCACCTGCTTTGTCTCATGAATTATCTTACATGACAGAAAAAACAAACAAACAAAAACGTTACAGTGCAGAAGTTTAAAGATTGTTTGTAAAATCCAGGATTCACTAAACACACAATTTCTCTACAGGGTTTTCCTCTGGATTTTTTTTTTTTTTGGTTCAAAGTAAATTTAGTAAAAATAGTCAACTGCAGTGCTCGTTCAGTTTAGTATCTGCACATTTCAAGAATAAAGTTAGTCAGCAAATACCCTAGAAAAAAGCAAGGTTGAATTAAGTTAAGGTTAAGGTAAGGTTGAAGTCTATGTTGTAATACAAAGTAAGCACAATATAACTAAATAAACCTAAAGAGAGAAAAAAACCCTTGAATTCTAAGCTTTGCAAGAGGAGAGGCTAAATTTCAAATAGGAGTAGAACTCCTGTCACTTCATTTAAAACATTAGTCAGGGGTTGGGCATGGTGGTACATGTATTTATCCCCAGCACTATAGAGGCAAGCCATGTTTCTGAGATCAAGGCCAACTTGGTCTACACAGGCCAGTCAGGGCTGTATAGAAAGATCTACAAACAAACAAATTAGGGGGGAAAAAAAGAAAACTTACCAGGAACATAACATTGAACTTCTTATCAGTTGGCTGAATAGATTTAAGTTTCAGTTTTAAATAAAACACTGTAGTCTTTACTTGCAGAATAAAATGAAATCACAAATGGAAATGAACAATATTTTCAACCCCTTGTTTAAAATGTAGGCATTAAAAGCAGTCTGAAGAAATGAAGGTTAGTTGCTATCTCCGTGTGAACTGCTTCTCATTAGCAGCAGTGGTTTTCTGTATTGGCTGAAGGGATCATCCATGCCAGTCAAAATTTGCTACCAGCATTGTGCAACTCCAGTTAATTTCAAGATTCATTCAGAATAGTTACGTAACAGCTTCTTAGAAGAGGCCAGCTTGATGTCTCTGTTCTGTAAGGATGTTTGGATACAAGCCAGAGGATCTGAGTTCAATTCCCACTTAAAAGCGGATGGAGAGGGCTGACACCGTAAAGTTGTTCTCTGACTTCTATATGTGTGTTGTGGCACATGTACTCTCACTCACACATGATTTTTAAAAATAAGTTTCTCAAATTGCCTTATTGAATGGCCTCTTACAAATTGTGCAGACTTACTTAGCAAAGTCCCAGTGGAGAGATTAACGTTACCACAGTTCTTTGACTGGAACAACATATTGAAGTGGCACTGAACGTAGAATTACACAAAAGGTTCTAGGTATGCCACTAAAACTTAAGGCAATCAACTATGCTAGTCTTATTTAGAACAAGGCATTTTGAGAAATATATAACCAGACCTAGAAAAAAATTCAAATACAGGTCTCTCTGGGCAAGATAGTAGCTACAGTTGTCTCATCTTTTTTTTTTTTTAAAAACACATGTTCATGATGCTGCAGAGGCTTCACGACTCCAGCATTCACCAAGTTCCAGGCCTGCTAGGGTCCTGTCCCACATACCTAAATCTCACAAGGCTGAGGCAGAAGAAGCCAAAGCCAACCTGGTCCACACAGCAAGTTCCAGGAAATTCAGGACTACACAATAAGATCCTGCCCCCCCCCAAACAAATCAGCTTTCTATTTTTAATAATTATTAAAATTATTATATGTTGTATATAGTATTATATAATATATAACTTTGTATTATTATTTAGTCAAGGTCTTACTGTGTAGCCTTGGATAGCTTACAATTTATTTTATAGGCCTGGCTGGCCTCACACTAAGACACAACATCCATACAGTTGCGTGTAATTTTAAAAAAACCACGATTCTTCCTTCACAGGAGGTCTGACCCCTCTCGGCTTAGCTCCAAGATCCCACTTCGACCAGCCCATGCTCTTGACTTAGCTCCTTAGCTCCGCCAGTTACAAGCTGGCACGTTTCCTGAGAGCTGCGATGCGCTCCCCTCGCCCCCAGCCCTTACCAGATAGCTTTGCCATGCCGACATCAACTGTCCCTGTCGCTCTCTTTCTCCTCTTGTCCACCTTAGCTCCTCCACAGATGTAAAACACTAGAAAGTTTTATATTTTAAAACTTGCCAGATAACACAATTGCTGGGCGTAGAATCTATTGCCCTAAACTTATCTGCTACTCTGTATCAGCAATCCGTCAGTGGCAAAGGCCACCACCGCCTCTGGTTGCCCTAAGACCTTACACGGTTGTTGGATCCTCTCATTCTGAAACCTGGTCCAAAGCCCCCTCCTTCCCTGTGTCCCTTCTCCTCCTCTCAGGACCCGGAAATCCCACCTTTTTCCTTTCGCCCAGCAATTAGCTTCCACCACCTTTATTGACACAATCAAGAACCAATTAAGGAATCAATACCTCTTTCTCCACTATACACATAAAAATAAGTAAAATGTTCAAAAAAAAAATGGTGAAGCCAAGAGTGATGATAGATTTCTATCCCAGCAGTCAAGAGGTTAAGGCAGGATCACACATAAGGGGTCAGCCTGAGCTACATGGTTCAAGGACAGATTAGGCTACATAATACATCTCTGTTTTAAAATAACATCAACAATAGGAGATCCCTTTTTTGAATGTCGGCAGCCAGGACTTTAAACTTACCTTTTAGAAGTGCTTTTGGGAAGTGGGAAATAAAGCTCAGTTGGTAAAATGTTTATCTAGTGGAGTCCAGTATTCAACCCCAATGGGGAATAGTCAAACATGCTTCTAATTCCAACACTCAGGAGGTAGACACAGAAGGATTCACTGTTCAGGGTTATTTTTGGCTACATAGGGAGTTCAAGACCAGCCAGAGCAAGGATTCTATCACAAAATATCATTTACTTTTTAAAGTTCTCTTACTGGGGCTGGAGAGACAGCTCAGCAATCAAGAGCACTTACAGCTCCTGCAGACTGACCCAGGTTCAGTTCCCACCATCCATATCGTGGTTCACACCTGTATGTAATTCCAGTTCCAGTGGGTCCAATGCCCTCTGGCCATACATACCTGAATCCATATGATGCACATACAGGCACATACACACGCAGGCATACATATACATACGCATTTTAAAAGAACTGAGTCACAAAGAAAAAAAAACTTTATTTGCATAGCAAGAGACAATTTTGTGTCCGTTCCTTTAATGTTCATAGGAGTACAGTGTATTGTCTGAGCAGCAATAACAATCCAGCAGGACAGTCAGCTAGTGGGCAGCACTCAGGAGAGAGCAGACTGTGGGTAAGCGGCTCTCAACTTCAGTTGGATTAGGATTGTCACCTGGCAGGTGACGACATAATGTGAGTATAGTCAAACTGCTTAGTGTGCACTTAAGATGGGTAATGATGATGAAATATGTATCTTTCCATAATTTAAAAACAAAATAACTTCGTTAAGACATAGACTCACTATGTACCTCTGGCTGGCCTAGTATCTTAGCAGAACCCACCAGAGTGGCTTCAAACTCAGAGATCTACCTGCCTCTGCTTCCAGAAGTACTAAGGTTAAAAGTGTGAGCCACCACACCCAGTACAAATAATCACTTCTTCAGAGAACTTTTGTAGAGTCAGCAAGATGCACTCAGGAAGGGAAGGGGGCCGCAGTCAAGACTGGCAGCCTGAGTTTGATGCCTGGAACCCCTGGTAGAAGGAGAAACTCTCTTGACATAAGTGCCACAGCGTGTGCACATGCCCCAAAGGGGCATCTACATACATGTTTGTGTGCTTGTTCTTGTGTGCATGAGTGTGTGCACACAACGCTCACTAAATAAATAAATGTAAAAAAAAAGATTAAAGAATTATATGATTAGATTGGGCCTGCGTAGATAATTTCCTGTTGTATGGCCTACCATATCACATGGTATATTCACAGGAGGGATATATTCACAGGTTCTAGGAATTGAGGTGAGGAAATCTTGTGGGGGGGGGGTATGATACTTTAGAAATTCTACTGTACCCAGTGTCCACATTTCCACTGCTTTAGATTTGTTTTAGAAGACATTTTATTTGCAATGTCCTCTGTCTGTGACTCTTTTCCATGACAACACTGCTTCACAAAGCGAAGCTTTCTGCTTAATGAGCAGGCACATCTGTGATTACTCCACAGAGAGCAAGCGAGGCACTTAACCCATTTTAACTTGCTGTCATGTGGCCAGTTACTTAAGGGACTTGCCACATTGAAACCTATGTTGTGCTTTATTGCTGGCAGTTTCAACATTCAGCAGCAGCAGTGGCTTGAAAAGATGTGGCCCAGTTTCTGACGGTGAATTTTTATGGTGCTGCACAAGCGAAGACCATGACCACAAGGAGGCAGTAGTGCACACACCATTTCTATGGGTGATCCCTGACAGGTTCTCATCTGGTGAAAGGAAGCGGCCAACCACAGGCCCCAACACCAGCTGAAGTAGGGAGGGTAAATCCTCAAGGTTGGGGGTGGGGGAAAGACCAGAGAAGGGGCACATCTGGCTTAGTGATGTCACCCAGCCTCCTAACATGGCATCTTTGGGTCAGAGAACATAAAATGGCAGCAAAGGGCTTATGGAATGTGGATAGGTCAATAAATGTGTATAGTATGTACTGCTGAAGTCAAAGTAACGAACAGTTCTAACTTCTTGTCATCACTGTGTTTGAAGCCTCTGACCCCTTTTCGCCCCTAGCTATTCATAAAGTAGGTAATAGGTTACTGTGAATTGTAGCTGCCCAATTGGGCTACAGAACAACAGAACTTATCCTGCTAATACCGGTTTGATATTGGTTATCTAAACTCCCTGTATCTCCCTTTCTCCACTATCTAATCAAAACCACAATGAGATCTATTATTTCTCCAGTCCGAATGGCTATTTAAAAAAGAACAGACAAAACCAACAAATGCTGGGGAGGATGTAGACAAACGAACACTCTGGTGCCCTTTTGTTGGAAGTTACTTGATATAGCCAGTAGAATGAACAGTATCAGAGTTCTTTTTAAAAAACTAATTTTACTATATGTCCAGCTATTCTTATGTCCATATACTTATGGGTATGCATTCAAAAGAAATGAAATTAACACATTAAAGAGATACCCATACTTCTGTTTATTGTAGTAACACACACACACACACACACACCATGAAGCAGACTTGATAGTTTCAAGCTATTGAGTTATTTCATGTTTTAAATTTATTGTATGCACATATTTGTAAAATTTCACAATGGGGATTTTATAGCAGACTTTATCTTCTTTTCCATAACTCCAGTTCCAGGAGATCCAATGCTCTCTTCCACACCAAGCATTTATGTGGTAAACATGGTCTATACATGGAGGCAAAATACCCTAATATATAAAATAAAAGTAAACCTTAAAATTATAACTTAAAAACACTGTTTTTTCATGTTGCAATTTCTCCCATATTATTATGAATTACTGATTTTATTTCTGTTATCCTTTGCTACAAAGGTTTTTCCACCTTCAATCTTGTTTTCCCTCCCCCTTACTCTTTCCAATACATTACATCATTAAAAAATAATTTCAGGGGCTGGAGAGATGGCTCAGTGGTTAAAGAGCACTGACTGCTCTTCCAGAGGTCCTGAGTTCAATTCCCAGCAACCACATGGTGGCTCACAACCATCTGTAATGGGATCCAACGCCCTCTTCTGGTGTGTCTGAAGACAGCTACAGTGTACTTATATGAATAAAAAAAATGAATAAATCTTTAAAAAAAAAATAATTTCAGGACATAAAATGGCTTAGTGTGTAGAGGTGCTTGTTGGATATTTTTAATCCTAGTTTGGGATTTCTACCCTGCCCCAGACCATTTAGTTTTCAGGTAAAAGACACACACAGCCTTTCTATTTATAGACTTTAATCGGCACGAGAGCAGATACCTATCCTCTATGTATTATGTCTATTTCCCAGCCAATAATCCCATTATACAATTAGCCAGCCCATGTGGCCATTATTTTAAGATTCTTACCCCCAGAGTCCTCTTTTTTTTACCTTCTTCTGCTTCCTCATGGTCTCCTCCAACTCCAAGCCTGGGAACCCCAAACCCCGCCTATGTCTCTTCTACCCAAGAATTAGCGATTGGCATCTATATTTAACCATTACTTTTAATCAAGTAGCAATGTCACATTCTCAGATTCTCTCCTCCCTGGGAGCAACCAGGCCTTGGGGGCCATTACCCTTACAAAATATATCAAAAGAGCAAGCCTTAACAGGTGCTTGCTGTCAAGTCTAAGAACCTGAGTTCAATTCCCAGGACCCTCATGGTGGAAAGAGGTGGCAGACTGCAAGTTGTTTCACCAAGACCGTTTAAAGCGTTGTTTCTTAGATGCATGCAATGCATCTGAACATTTAACCCCCTGCCAAGTGAGAGCTTCACCCGGAGCTGAAGAGCCCTAGTATTGCCTTTCTGAGCAATGTCCTTACCAAACAGCACATGAATGTGTACCTGCTAGTAATTCTACTGTATTTAAAGACTGCTTCGAGACCTTTACAAAAGGTAAACTAGTTGACTTAAGTAAAATAAAAATTCGACCTTCCAGTCAAAACCCATTAGGAACAAAAGCATGGGGGCCAGCTACAGGTGTCCTCCCTAATCCAGTCTGTGTGCGCCAGGGACATGGAGGCAGTCACGGAGCAGCTGCACACGTGGCTTGGAAATGCCTTTCAATTGCCCCTGTAAGTGGGCAAATTCTCTAACACAATTTATGTGATTTAAATACCACCTGCCGTATTTTAGAAAATTATATTATGCAGTAAATTAGCAGTTGAGTTTGGGAATGTTTCAGCCCAATGGGGAAACTTCCTGCAATGAAGCCCTCACATACCAAGAACATCCTGGATAGCTCTTCCACCTGGATAGACCATGCTAAGCACTAAGCTTTCAACGTGGGTACTTTATCAGTGAGTGTAACATCCTTCCTTCTCAACTATCATACTACCTGATGCAAACTTATCATGAAACATGATGTGTATAATCTGATCACAGGGATGTCCTCAGGAGCTGAGATGCAGGGTTCTCTATTACGTCTTCTCAAGCACTCGCCTCTCATTTTCAATTCTCACTTGATTTTTGGTTATTTCTCTGGTCTGCAGTCACATTTTATTGTTCACCTCTGGATAGAATGTTCTCGATACAAGCGTTATGTTTAGGAATAGGAAACAGATAACCAAAGTTACTGGAATTTGCTATGAAGGAAAAATAAGTAGACTGAAGATAGAAGGGGCTCAGGCACTGGCTTTGGGCCATGTGAAGAGTTCTACATCCTTAGGCCTTTTCATATTGGTGATGCAGCCCCTGACAAATCTAAATGAGTGAAATCCAATTCGTTAAACTTATAGGGTAGGTATCAAATACAACAGTCACCTGTTTTTGTTTTGTTTTAGAGTGGAGCTTTAAAATAGTTTAGCAATACAGTCTGACATTTCTAATCAAAGGCTATGAAAAAAATTATACAGATCAGCAGCTAGCTTAATTGGCTTCCTATAAACTTATTAACAAATTAGGTTACAAAACACAAAAGCACGTCAGTGAATCATCAGGAGGCAGCAAGCTCACAGCTGAGTTGTGATGTGCTTGCCACAACACGACTTGCTTAATTATCCACACAAATGAGTCATTAGTCCATCAAACTAATGCTCTTGGGATACCTGGTATTCTGTGAGGCTGGTGCTTGTTTGCTGAGTCAGGAATGAGTAGTGCTCTATGTCAGCAGGTTAGGTGGCCCTCACAACCACTGTAATTTAAGAAAGCTGGTTCTCGAAGGTTCTAGAACACTCAAGTGGTTTATCACTTCATGTGTGTTTGGTTATTCAGTGCCTGTATAAAGTACACATAATAGAAATCTGTGAATTTACAGATGATGGCAATTGTAATGCTTATGTGAAAGCTTATTAAAACCCTAGCCTGCTACCAGACGTGGACTTCTGGGCATAGTAACAGTATGGTTTCCAGTGAAAAATGTGGAAGGGGAGGGAACAATTTTCTTCTCAGGGCACTAAAATTACATTCTGAGACAACTTTCACTTTTCTCACCGTTCTTATTTGACAAAATTCAAGGTTGGCCATTTCATTTTAGACTACCAATTTCCAATAAATGTGCCTTCTGTGAGGCCCAAAGTGTGGCAGCAGCGAGGATGTCTTTTTCAAAGACTGTTGCTATGAATTGCAGCAGCGGTTTTACAGAGAGGCAGAATAACCAAAGCATCCAAACTTGTGCTGAGGGCTTGACCATCTGTGGAAAAGTACCTGGTTAATCTGATAGTAAAGGCACTTTAGGAGCACTGAATAGAGGGTCTCTGAACTCCCCACGGCCACAGAAGAGCAAGACTCTACTTCTCCCCCATCTATAGGCAGGAAGAAGAGGTATGAGTTTGTGGGGCAGACCTTGTAAAGCTCCCAGCACAGATATTTTCCAACTCTAATTTTGGATCTTGCTGTTGGTCACGAGGAAGGTAAAAATCACATAGTGGAATTCACTGACATTACATGAAATACATTTATGGTCCCAGGGACATGCTTGATGTAACGTCTGGTACACATACTCAACAATTCTTAGCTTTATTACCACAAAGACTGAATGTTTCTTATACCTCCATGGGTTCAGGAGATGGATAACTCAGTAAGACACTTGCCACACAAGGGTGAGAACCTGAGTTCTGAGCCTTGGCACTCATTCACTGCAGAGCATAACTGTAACCTGAGTGCTGGGGAGGTGGGGACGTGAGCAGTTCTGGGGCTCACTAGGCTGCTCAGCCTAGTTCAATCCAGGAGCTCCAGAGTCAGTGAGTGTGATGGTTTGTGTATGCTTGGCCCAGGAGTGGCACAATTAGGTGTAGCCCTGTTGGAGTAGGTGTGTCACTGTGGGTATGGGCTTAAGACCCTCACCCTAACTGCCTGGAAGTCAATATTCTGCTAGCAGCCTTTAGATGAAAATGTAGAACTCTCAGCTTCTCCTGTACCATGCCTGCCTAGATACCGCCATGCTCCCACCTTGATGATAATGGACTGATCCTCTGAACCTGTAAGCCAGCCCCAATTAAATATTGTCCTTATGAGAACTGCCTTGGTCATGGTGTCTGCTCACAGCAGTAAAACCCTAACTAAGACAGTGAGAGAATGATTGAGGAAGACAATGCACACTGACCTCTGGGCCTCCATGCTCCCATCTGCAAACCCATGTGTCTAGACACATACATAAACAAAAAAGAAAACATCATGACTTGAGTGGGTTGTATCTTTAATAGTTTAAGGATAGCTTTTACATGAAACTTGTAAGATAAAACTAAAGAAACTTCTGATAGTAGGCTAAAATTACAAATAATTCAAAAATTCCAGTAAACCTATAAGGAGAACTTTCTTGTATTCTGTTTCAGTGGTTTATACTATTAAAAAGATATAACACAAGATGGAGCTCAGTGCAAAGGGCTCTCGCCAGGATGTGTGAGGCCCTGGTCCCATCCTTCGTACCATCAGAGTAAGTGAGCAGACACAACTCTGTACCGCTTTTGCCTTTACCGCTTTTGCCTTTTGTAGTATTTCCTTCCACATTTCAGTTGCTACTTCAAACCAGTCATAACCTCTTTTATTACAAGTTTTACAGGGGTAGAGAGGCAGCTCAGTTGTTAATAGCACTGGATGTTCTTGTAGAAGACCAGGGTTCAGTTCCCAGCAACCACATGGTGGCTCGCAACCGTCTGTTAATTCCAGTTCCAGGGGATCCAACATTCTCTCTGGCTTCCTCGGGCACCAGGCATGAGCATGGTGCAAATACATACAGACATGCAGACATACATACATACAGACAGACAGACAAGCACTCATACACAAGAAATGAGTCTTTCTAAAACATGTCTATTTAACATCACACTTCACGATGCACAGGCTAAGACTATAAGATGTGTCAGTGTAACTTAATTATGTGACAAGCTGACTCGTAATCGGTTTCCTTTTTAGCTTGCCATCACTTGTCTTTCTCAAACTGCTAGGAATGATAGCTAAAGAAAGAACAGACAGAATGATGTGGTACCAGGCTTACTATGTGCTCGTGTAATAAATAAGAAATCCTAGAGATGGTCCATCTAACCCAGCAGACTTGACAAATGAGTGTCCCCAGATTTAACTGTCTTGCTTTTACCTTGCTTCTGGAGGTAACACGGTTCTATGGCAGAGCTGAAGTACTTATTAAATCTCACCTTCTTTATATAGCCTATTTTGCCCTTGATGGATCGTGTCACTTAGGAGCCAGAAAGTGAAATGAGTGTTTGTTTTTCTGTTTTGTTTTGTTTTTTCAGTCTTTGCCCTAACTTGTGCGTGGCTTCCTCTCCTTACACAGACTCTGTCTAATCCATTTGTGACTATGCTTTCTCCAATGCTGGCTCCACCCTATCTTCAGACAATCAAAGGTCTTATCAAATGGGCCTAAAGAGCTTAATTGTGCTATGACAATTTTATTCAAAGCCTCGATTTAAAAAAAAAAATCAATCGAAAGTATATAAACGTTTGCTGAGGGGAAACAAGAGAGAAATGGAAAGTAAAAGCAATAACCCTTGCTAAATCCTCGTCCTTATCTGGGAGGGCAGATTATGCTGTGTCATAGGTCCTTCCAGATGTTTTTCCTGTCATTATGCACACACACACACACACATACACACACACACACACACAAGTGTCTTATCTGTACTTTGTGAAGTTAAAAAAATACAATAAAGGAGTTATCTCTTTTAAAAAAGATCAAAATATTTTCTCTCAGTATGTACAAATTCAATCCACTAGAGTACAAGTAACTTAATATCCTGTTGCCATTTCTCTATAACTACAAAAAAGATAAAATAAAATATTTTGAGCAATGAACTATGCATCATTTTAATACAAATTCAGATGTACTTTATATCTAATTGACATTCAAACTATAGCTCATAAGTGCTCTTGTCACACAGCAGTCACCAAGTTAAGCACCACACACACACACACACACACACACACACACACACACACAACCACACACAGAACAAGACTTTTGTAAGGTGAACCATTTTTATGATGAAAATAATTGTTTTTCAGTGGAAATTTTCATATATGATTTACTTTTTAGAAATTGGGATAATTATGGTAATAAGGTAAAATCTCTATAAAACTGGTTCTATTGCCTCAAAATATTCTTTTCTTTTCTTTTTTTTTTTTTCCAAGACAGGGTTTCTCTGTGTATCTCTGGCTATCCTGGAACTCACTCTGTAGACCAGGCTGGCCTCGAACTCAGAAACCCACCTGCCTCTGCCTCCCAAGTGCTGGGATTAAAGGTGTGCGCCGCCACCACCCGGCGCCTCAAAATATTCTTGATGGCAATATTTTTCATAATTCTTCTAAAAGCAGCAGAATTCCACAAAAAAAATGTCAAATGACTTCAAATGAGCAAAACAAGACAATAAGATGATACATTTAACAGAACAAGGGAGAATTTTTTTAAAAAATATACATTCTGTTGAAATACTGGTATACAAAGAAATAACTTCTAGCCCACAGTCAAACTTTAAATTCCCAATTAATTAAAATTTGAAGTGCTGACTTTATTGTGGAAAGACACATTAAGCTTGATTTCAGAATGAGACTTGACCACTTGATTTCTATACAAATAATTGAATATATAAAGTACCAAATATAAGCAGTAGTGTAGCAAGAAAATAACTGGCAGAAATAATTACTCTACCAGTACTGATAGTTAAAACTTCCAAAGATTTTTCTATGCACAACAAAGATGGAAAAAATATGTCAGAGTTTCATCTTAAAATGGCTACTGTTATACTTCTTTCTTCTTCAGGATGAGAGGACCCACATTATCGCCTGTCAATTCATTATGCTTATTATGGGACCCATCACAGGCAGGAAACTGAAAGGAAAAAAGAATTGCAAATGTTATTTTACAGCAGGATTCATGAAGTAGAGCCATCTGTGAAATACTCGTGAAGCCAGTGTGCCACTTACTACAAAAGAAGTCCATTAGAGAGCTTCCTGGCAGACCACACCCACCATCCCAAGCAGCAGGCAATGTAAGGAAAATGGAAAATCCTTCCCAGCTCTCCAGAGGCAAAGGCAGACAGAATTCAGAGTTTTAGGCCAGCCTAGTCACAGAGCAATCCTTCTCAGTGACTATAAAACTTTAAAAAGGGCTCAAAATAAGTTTTGGTTTCTATGGAGAGCTAACTTCTCATTTAAATAAAAAAGTACATGCAAAATAAATTTTACAATGTATAAAACTCATACTGTAAAGTTTGTGAAAATATTAAAAGGTGCTCAATCCATCTGATTATGGTTATAATTAGTATTTTATTACAGGTTTTCCTATGAATTCATTGTGGCATTCATTTTTTTTCCTAAGATTTATTTATTTGTTTTATGTAAGTACACTGTTGCTGTCTTCAGAAGAAGGCATTGGATTCCAATACAGATGGTTGTGAGCCACCATGTGGTTGCTGGGAATTGAATTTAGGACTTCTGGAAGAGCAGGCCACTCTTAACCGCTGAGCGGTTAATCTCTCTAGCCCCGTGGCATTCATTTTTTTAAAAGCAAAATGAAAATCCTATTGTAATATGCTTTTCTTGTATAAAAGCAGGACCTCATGTCATTACATGCTTGGGCACCTGTGCACAGGGTGTGCGTGCTTACCCAAGGAGGCACAGGTGGAGGCCAGGGATTGACATAGCAATGCCTTCTTCAATTGCTTCTCCACCTTAATGTTTGAGAGAAGACTTCTCCTTGAACCTGCAGTGTCACTGCTGGCTGGCCAGGGAGCCTCCTGTCTTGCCTCCACCCCCATCCCCTCACCCCCAGGAGCTTTTATGCTGGGCTTTTATAGGGATTCTGAGATCAGAATTTAGGTCCTTATGTCTGTGCAGCAGAACTTAACCCACAGAGCCATCTTGCCAGTAAACATTTCTTTAAAAGCGTGACTTCTACTGACTTCCCAATATCCCATCAGTTCCCTATACTCTAACTGAGGCCCATTATGCTGCTTCTAAAATTTTCAAACTTATGTTATTACAGTTACACTTACTAGCTTATTCTATGTAAGGCATTTTATATGTATCCTTTCACTAAATCTTCAAAAACATCTGCAATACCAACAGAAAAGATTGAAAAACAAAATAAACAAACAGCAGCAAAAAGCCAAAAACAATAGCACCAAATAAAACAACAGCAACAACCCATAAACCAGAGGTTAAAAGTTAGGTATCTCAGGGTAGGCATACTGGCCCCATGCCTTTAATACCAGCACTGAGGGGGGAAAGCAGTCAGCTTCTCTGAGTTCCAGCATTGCCTGGTTAATACCACCAATTCTAGGCCGTTTAGTGAGACATGAGACTCTGGTGTGTATGAGAAAGGGAGGGAAGGAGGGAGAGGGAGGGAGAGAAACAGACATACAGGGGGAGGGGGAAAGGGAGGAGGGAGAGGGAGAAGGGGAGGGGCCCAATCCAAATCAAGTTGGCAATTGCCCAAGTGACAGACTGCCATCAAAAGTAATTATTTAGATATCAACATTTGGCTCCTTTTCATTAAATCTTAAATTCCCCCCCCCACACACAAACTATTTAAAATACACTGCTCTAGACAAACGCTGAGCAGCTCGAGAGCAGCAGCTCGAGAGCAGCAGGCTCCGTTGCTCTCTGTTCTCTACTACAGGCACTAGCAAGCAAAGAAGGGCAAACCTCAACTTGGGACTATCAGCTTTGACTATTAAACAGTATGGAAAAATTCCTAATCTCACAGAATTTCAAAATTGGGGACTGAAGTGGCAAAAACCATCCTAACTCCACACAAGTTTATCATACGTATAAATGGATATCTTACCGTCTTAGAACGCCAACATCTACAATAAGCTGCTTTTGTAAGACACAGATCTTCAATATTTATTTCGTTCACCACCTTGGGATTTTCTTTTTGTATTTTAAGATTAATCAAGCTATCCTTCTGTTGTTTCTTCTTCGGGAAGAATGGACGAACTGCAAGGTAGCCCAGAAGTGCAAGTACACCGAGGAAAGGCAGTAAACGGAGCCATTCTGAAACTAAACACAGCACAGATGTCAGGATGCTCAGTACTCCTGGAAGGAACACAGTGACGTCTAGCTCACCGCTGTGTTACCTGTGCTTCCCATAACCCATCTATCCCACAGTATACTCTATATAGAACAGACCCGGCCCAGCCAGGATTATCTAATTTTATCTGTAGGCTAACTCCATTTGTGAAACTGAAATTTTAGACCTGCTAAATATTTGTGCTTGTATTTACTTTTATCTGGAATTATAATCAACACAATTATGAACAAAATGTCTTATTAGATTTAGAAAACATTTTCACTCTTTTCTTCTTAATACCATATCTAAAATCATATAATGGAATTTCCACAAAAATTTTACTACTGCTTTATAATTTCAGACAAAACATAGCCACAAATGTTTGAACTTACTTTTATTGAAAATGGGTTCTTCTCTCATACAATACATCCTGATGAGTCAACTTACTTGTTAAGTTATAAAGACAATCCTTTAAATAACGACTATTTTAATTAATTGAAACCTTTACACACTGAATATTCCCACTTTAGGTTGCTTATTAAATACCTCTTAGAGTATTCAGTCAGCCTTTTGAACACATGAAATGCAAACAATGCAAATGAAATGGTTCTCGAATGTCTGGGAGTGCTCCCAGTCATCTCTGGGCACCCTCTGACTGCCTGACACCCTGCTAGTCACTACAGCCTAGCCAAGACTATGTGCCAAAGGATGCTAAGAAACACTGATGATAAGTGACGGGCTGTGCTTCAGCATGCAACTGAACCAACTCATCTAATGCTGTTAGCTTTGAGAACTCCACGTTATCATATTATATGGAGACTAAATGTAGACTAAGCAGGACTAGTTCATCAGCCTAAATGCAAAGTCTGTTCTATGGCACCACGTGTCAAATTCCACAGATCTAAAATGAAATGTTTCTCTCTTAGTAGAACTATTCTAAAGAGATGCTACTACCTAACCATTAAAACCCACTGGCTTACTAATACTCTTCTAGCATGTAGCTCAGTGGTAGAGTGTGGGCCTACCAAAATACAGACAGAATCATTTTGATTCAACAGTGCCAGAGACAGAAATGAAATAACTTATTTATGTAAGCAAAAAATTGCTGAATATAGAAAAATATTAAGTATTAAAAAAATCACTAGAGAGACACAGAAGCACCTAAAATCCTGGCTCTTAGTATTTCTGAGGTATATGTGTATGCTGTGCACACAAAGCCAAAATAAGAAACTGAGTGTCTTCCTCTATTGTTCTCTGACTTATTGCCTTGAGACAGGGACTCTCACTAAACTAGAAACTCACCTTTTGGCTAGGCTGACTGCCTGGCAAGCCCTGAGGATCTGCCTGTCTCTGGCCCCCACAGTAAGGCTTTTGAGATGAATGTTGGGCCTCAAACTCTGGTTCTCACATATGCGAAGGAAGGGAACACCCTTAGTCACTCTGCCACCTGCTCATAAATAATACATATTCTTAAGGATGTATTATTTCTTTTTATTACTGTTATTGTTTTGTAAAGTAACCTTATCAGGGAACAAATGCCTCTACTGTCTGCTGGGAGGATTACAGGTGTACACCACAAGCTGATTTATGCAGTACTAGGCACTGTATGCTAGCCAGTCAAGCACGTTCCCAACTGAGCTGTAGCTCCAGTCCTTCAGAAACTGACCACATGAAGAATTAATTCCTTGGTTATCTATTGTTCTACAATGAGGTACTGTTAACTCCTATAACAAAGTAACAACATATAAAAACACTGAGTACATTTTTGAAGTTGTTTTAAGTCAAATTTTTTACAAAGTGAAATCAAGCTCAATTTAAATTGCTTTAAGTATATTTAATAAGATGGTCTTTCTTCCCCCCCCCCCCTTCTTTCCTCCTTTCTTTCCTTCCTTTTTAAAAATTTTTTGAGACAGGGTTTCTCTGTGTAGCCCTGGGTATCCCAGCCAGGCTTTGTAGACCAGGCTGGCTACTAACTCAGAGATTCAGTTGCTTCTGCCTCCCAAGCGCTGGGAGTAGAGGCTTGGGCCACCACAACCTGGCTAAAATGATTTTTCTTAAAGAATATAAAGTGCAAAAGACTCAAACAAATGAGAAGCCTTGTAAGATAAGCTACTTGCCTTGGACATTTTTTATATATACTAGTTTCTCTGGGGGTGGAGGGTACCATCACTAATTATAAATAGTACACAAACTAATTTGGAGAAATGGACTCTTTATAATGACTATTTTAAATTTTATTGTTTTAGAATTATGAAACATGGATAGCATGAAAATTTAATTTAGAAAAAAAAAAGTTATTCAAAAATCATACTGGGGGCTGGAGAGATGGCTCAGCGGTTAAGAGCACTGACTGCTCTTCCAGAGGTCATGAGTTCAAATCCCAGCAACCACATGGTGGCTCACAACCATCTGTAATGAGGTCTGATGCCCTCATATGGGTGTCTGAAGACAGCTACAGTGTACTTATATAATAAAATAAATTTAAAAAAAAAAGACCAAAAAAAACATACTAATAAGAATTGGTAACACTTCATTATATTTCTATTTTTATTAACTCTACAGTCTGTATCCTACATTATAATATGTAAGATTATTTTTATCGTTCTTCCAACTCCATAACAACATTTGCAAAAGATTCCATTAAGAACTTTAAAAAAACATGTGTATGGCTGTTTTGAATATATGTATGTTTGCTTACCACCCGCATGTCTGGTGCCTATAGAAGCCAGAAGAGGGTGCCAGATCTCTAGTCACAGATGGTTATGAGACCCAATGTGGGAATCAAACCTGGGTCCTCTGGAAGAGCAACATTAGTCTTAAGTGCTACGCCATCTCTCCAGGCCCTGGAAACCTGGGTTTTAATGGCTTTTTTCAACCTCTCAAGTGTTCCACTTACAATAAAGGTCTCCAAGAGCATGAGGTCACCATGGTCATACTCTGGGTCACCACTGTATTCTCAGTACCTAAATATTGTTTGCCTCCATCTGCTAATTTACTTTTTACTAAGAAATATATAATTCATACTTTCACTTCTTTAGCATTGTATTTAAGGTTCAGAACAATGAGTTTTGAAATTATATGGATCTGAAAACTTCAGCTAAAACAAAGTATGCTGTTTCTTCTTACAGGTAACATTTACTATTCTTGAACATTTGCTTTTAGACCTCACAACCACTCCTTTCTCAGTGATTATTATTATTAGCGTGTATGTTGTTTGGGAGTTTGCCACCAGACACATGTAGTCAGGGAAAAGGCTGTTCGGACTGTTCTCTTCTTCTACTGTTAAATAAGCAGGCCTAATTCAGGTGGTCAGGTTTGTGTAGCAAGTGTTTTTATCCCGTAAGCCATTTCACCAGTCCCTTTCTGTTTTAGGTTACTGATTTAAGGGCAGGGGGTTTAGGGGAATGCTTAGTCTGTTAAAAATACTTGCCCTATAATTGTGAAAACCCAAGTCCAATCCCCAGAACCCACATTTTTTTTTAAAAAAAAAAAGCCAGGTATGGTGGCATATACTTGTAATTAGGCAGAGACAAGAGAATCTCCAAGGCTCAATGGCCAGCCAGTCTAGCCTAAGTGGTGAGTTCCAGACCAATGAGACAGTGTGTCTCAAAGTAGGCAGACCGCATTCTGAGGATGACACTCAAGATTGTTGTCTGGCCACTTACATGCATGTGCATACTGTACATCAACAGACATACATATGAGCATGCAGACACATGCATAAAATATGGAAGTGCACAATAGACGCTTCCAAATAAAATCTCATGAATTTCCTCTTGTAAATCAATACGTTACAATCTTTTACTGTGTAAGTAGTACCCACTTTGTGGAGAAACTGTGCAGTATAAAAACAGTAGCTGCTTGCTGTTTCTTTGCATGTGCAGTGCCTGGGGCAGACCAGGAAGGCAGCAAACAACCTAATCACTGTCTATCTTTAGTCTAAGTCCAGGTTTCATTTGTCTGTAAAACAGGGATAACAACCATTCATTCCTTTAATCAACAGCATTTACTAAGTACCCTACACTCTAGTTACTGCTTTAGGAATGGAGATGCTCACAGATGGAGAACGAGGGGAGGGGGCAGACAACAGGAAGCAAAACACAAACCATATAGTCACCGCTGTACGTAAGAGCCACGAAGCAAACAAACAAGGTGACATAAAATTAACAAAACAAAACCAACCAAGCAAGCAAAACAGCTTGGCAGCATCGTAGTGAGTTGACTGCAACTGTAAGTTAAGTGTTAGAAAGGTTTCTGAAAGAAAGAATCGAGGCAGAGAGCTGAAGTGTGAGGTCAAAGGCTCAAAGAGTCAAGTCTTCAAGACACAGAACATGTAAAATCTCCAAGCCTATCTGTTATTCAGCGAGAACTGCACAACACTGTTTGAAAGAACCCTATAGACATACTCTACCACGACGCTCCAGTTACGGACGTGCCCGTCACCTCTCCAAGAGGTTCCAATTCCCTGCCCTTTCCTAGACTTGCATAAACTAACACTACAATGAATTTCAGTTAAATTCAGTTTATTCTTCATCAAACTGACATTTAGATCGTTCCCACTGGGTTCGTTTACCTCCCACAGCTTATAAAATTAAGAAACTAGAGAAAGGCTGTAAGATGTTTCAGAAATAAGCTTCTAGTACTTCTAAAACTAACAAAACCCTCATTAACATGTTAGTGAAATGATAGATTTTTGATGATACCAAATTTATACACAAACTGTCACAATAGAGCTTTCCATCTGTACAGAATAGAGACATATAAAAAAGATTACAATACTGTGGGCAACTATATATCAGCTGTATAGAAGAGAAGTGATAATTCGTTGCTGAGATGAACAAAAAATTCAGCTTTGACACTTGTTTACCTTTCTAAACAACGAGTGAGAGAACAGTCCCTAGACAACAAAGTGAGGCCCTGCATCCCTGGCAGAGTTAACTGCAGGCAACGTGCACACATAAGAATGCCTGGGAAACTCAGTGCCATGGTA